TTTATTACTAAAACGATTGACCTTCATCTCGAAATGTGCTACATATTGCTAGAAGGCTGTGGTGTCCTAGACTAATTTTGAGAAGATGTATCCATTCTACTGTTGAACCTTCTGCCGTCATCAAGGGGAAACTCCGATGAAAAAAGTACTATCAGATTACATAAAAACAAAGGAAGACTTCGATCGATTCTGCAACCTGTTCCTGAAAAAAGAGGTGTCTCCCTTCGTTAAAGTGTACGACGCTCCAGGTCGCGATGGCGGAATTGATGCAGATTACACCGGCGTTTATAAGGAAAGGGACGGCACCTGGATCTTCCAGTATAAATTCTTTGACCCAACAATGGATAAGGGACGTGTCCGCAGCCAACTCATTTCCCAAATGAAAGGTGGCAAACGTAAAAAGGGTGAATTCGACAAAGCCGATGCGTTGCAGTGTGATCACTACGTTCTCATGACCAGTACTTTGCTTACTGCTGGTAACAAGCGTAAAATTGAGGACATTAAAAACGAGAAAGAATACGCCTTTTCGTTAATCTGTTGGGATGCAGAAGACCTCATCACGATGACTGATGAGTTTCCTTACCTCTTAAATTCATTCCGAGATTCCCATCTACCTGTATTCCTTCCTTGGCAGGACATGTTCCGAGATCAAACTGCGGGTAAACATCAACTGTTAAAATACGATTATGAAACCTTCGGACGCGAGGATGAGCTGCGTCAATTTCAAACTTTTGTTCAAGATCCGGACAAAAAACTGCTCATGGTATATGGTAGCGGTGGCATAGGAAAAACCAAGCTCGCTATTGAATTTGCAAAGACGGTTGAACGCGACCACACGGATTATGAGCCCCTCTTCGTTCAGATGGCTGGAGACAGTTTTGAAAGTGCCTTAGCAGAAGATATTCCCCCGAACAGGAAGTACATTTTCTTTGTAGACGACGCACATGACTTTATTGACCACCTTGGGGGTATCAAAATACTCCTGAATAGTCCCGGATACAGCGAATCCAAAGCCGTTCTCATAACGCGAAAGCCGTTTAAAGCATCTTTGAAGGGTATTTTCTTGTATGCCTTGCCCGATGGTGCCACTGACGAACGTGAAATCCCGAAACTTTCGCTGGAGAAAACCAAGGAATTCATCCGCGCTTATGCTCAAATCCCCGATGGCTCCCTCTTGACTGAGTTAGCCCGGATTGGGCGGGATACGCCGCTAATTGCTGTCATGGTTATAAATTTTCTGAATAACGGAGAAGGACTGAAAACTCTCACAAAAGACAAATTGGTTGAGGACGCGTTTGAATCCTACCTAGACGACATATTTAGCAAACATCTGTCAAAATCAGATAAACAGCACCGAAAATTGCTTGACTGGCTCAGCGGGATTGCCCCGATTGACACGGAAGATAACCGAATACGCGATAAATTGGCAGAGATTTTAAAAGTGGAGCCGTACGAGATAGAGCAGTACCGCGCCGACCTGATAGAATACGGTTTACTCCTTCATTACGGGAATAAACAGCGGATTTTCCCCCACCAGCTCAGCGACTATATTTTACGGAAGGTATGTTTCTCTACTGGCGACAGACCGTCCTCTTTCCACGAAAGCCTGTTGAAGGAATTTTTACCACTTTTCCCTGTCAAAGTAATTATCAGTCTCGCTCGCGTGGAAAACATAACTGGTGAAAGAAGTCTCCTTGATGAACATGTCGCTTCTCTTAAAATTCAAGCACGGGAAGGTGATAATGCTGTTCGAGAGGATATCCTTGACCAGATGGAAGGTATTAGTTATTTCCGCCCAGATGATGCAATTGAGATTTTCAATATTATCTTGGATACCCCTAAAGAAGACGATGTAAAACATTATACAGGGTGGACATCTAAGCGGACCCATCAAGACGTGGTGAAGAAAATTGCCAAAGAAGTACAGAAAACAGTCAATACGCTTTCTGGATTTATGAAAACGCTGGAAATAGTCCGGAAACTCCTCCTGATGAAGGATTTGGAACTTCCCAATTACGACTCGCCGCAGGAGTTATTGAAAAAGATGGCAGGTTTTCAAACGAGCAAACCCAGTGCATTTCAAATGAAAGCACTTGAAGTTTTTGAGGTATGGGAAAAAGGAAGATAAACCGGAACTAAGTTTGGCACTACTCAACGCTCTTGATATACTTCTCGTGCTGGACTTCAGTGAAACTGTCAGTGAAGGTGGTTCTTTGAAGTTTGGTTGGCACCATTTAGAATATACACCTGAATTAACCCGCCTCAGAGCGAAGGCGATTGACTTAATTGAGCATTGCCTGAGAACGTCTCAACATAGTATCGTCAGAACGGAAGCAATAGGCTCTATCAGTCGAGCAATAAATCCCTTGGAAAGCCCATTTCGGCAGGGAATCGCAGAAGAGGACCGGGTGCTATTACAAAAGGAACAAGCACGTCTCTTCAACATATTAGCCGATCAAACCTTAAGAGAGCGCGATTTCACTGTTCTCAATGCAATAGATCAGTGTCTCCAGGGATATGCAGAAAACACGATATTTAGACGAGTTTCCAAAAAAACGGGCAGCGGAATTACTTGCGAAATTCCACGAACAGGAAAGTTATGAGAAGTACCTTTTCTATCGTCAATTTGCTGGGAAATTCCGTGATTGGGAAGCAAGTGAAAGTGCTGAACAGACCCAGGCGTTCCTGAAAAAATATCTCAAGAAATACACACCCACGGAACTCTCAAAATTAATGCAAGAATGTATAGTGGTTGCCGAAAAAGGGAAGGAGTACCGTAGTACCAGAGACAGCATCTGGGCAGAAAAAGGGTGGGATCCTGGAACTGCAACATCGCTGCTTCACTCTATCGGTGAACTTGATCCCTCCTACGGCTCTGATTTATTGGACCACATTGTTGCTTGGCAGATAGAGGAATCGCATTGTGCGGCTGGGCTGCTTAGCGGTATTCGCTACATCAACAAAGATGAAGGGAGTGAGGCAACTCACCGTCTCTTGGATCAGAACACCATCTTTGCCAAACGCATCGTTGCAAGAAGTTATTTCTGGAGAAAGTAAGACCGACGGATGCATGGAAAAGAAGATCTGTCCATTTTAGATCAATTGTCTAAAACGTTAGACCCGCAATTACGGTTGTATATAGCCGAAAGCCTTTCCAATTTCTATGTTGTGGATGCGAACACTGTCCTTGAGATTTTGGTAAGATTATCAACTGATGAATCACCTATAGTTACGAGGCACGTCATCCACACGCTCACCCGCCAAGAACTTAAATTCTCGCCACAAAACCATTTGGAAAAATACAAACAAGTGATGCTTAATTGTGTGCGTTTAGAACGCCTTGATCATGACACGGAACAAGTGCTTCACTCTATCTTAGACCATGATCCGATGGGTTATCAAATTTTTTGAGGAACGAATTGCTTATAGAGGAGAATGAATCTAACCGTTCTGAAACGGTTCGAGTATAATTCTGAATGTTATGTTATGATGCTGTTCCGCATCGTCCCCACTATCTATTGAAGACGTGGACTGGAATGATCAACGCGCTGACGCTTTGAGGCGTCGTGAGAGATTGGGTGCTTACGTCCTCGAACCTCTGAGATTTGAGGCACCCAACTTGCTACATCTATGATCGGTGGAAAACGATCTGCACAGTGATGGGATTAAAATTAATGGCGCAATGCGGAAACTCTTTGAGGAATGGATAGACTCGGAGATATAGAACTGATGCGGGAGTCCGCTTACCTGATGAGGGGATTCGACGCAGACGCGGTCTTTTATTCCATTGCAGAGTCCCTGCTCACAAAAAGCGAACGGAATAACAAGGCAGATAAAGAGGTAGAAGGCGGAATTGTAGCAGCACTTTCCTCAGGAGTTTATTCAAGAAATATCGGTGAACCGGTGCCGTGTCTTGTGGAACAAATCAAGGATCTTAAGATATGGCGAGACAAAACACAGTCAACGGTTGTTGCTCAGTTTGCCGAAGATCTCATAAAAATGATAGAACAAGATATTGAAAAACAATTGCAGGAAGATGAAGAATTTCTTGAAGGAGAAGAATGGTAAATCTAACGAATGAAGCCAGACTCCTTCAGAAAATTAAGGAACTTGCTGCAAACGGGAAAATTCACAGTTCTGTAGGGTTAACAGAACAAGCTGCTGAAACTAAAATTCAGAAGTTGCTTCCAACAACCCGACAACGAATCAATGCTGTAAGGTTTTATCTGGATCTGATAGAAAACATGAACTATGCTCCCTATATGGAGGTCAATCCTCTTTATCGGAAGAGCAAAAACCGTTGGTTGACTTCTCGAATAGGGACTTTCAAGTTCAAATCAATCTATTAAACTCCGGTCCTTTCCCGTTAGTTGTTTTCATTGTTCTGAACGGTTTCTTTTCAAACCTGGTGAGTTTGGAGGACTGTATAGCGAAAATCATCAACATTGTTTACAACTTAACCCCGTACAATAAACGCTATTCTGGCTTTCATATCCGTCAAAGACTTAAAGGTAAAATATCGAGGGGAGACTTAACCCGCCATTTACGTGTTTTCCACGCGGTATACCGAAAAGATAAAAGTGACGTTGAGGACAAAAAGGGGGCCACTTTCAATATTGCGAAGGAAATCAGGAACCAATTAACACATGATGATATAACAGATATAGTTGACTTTCCACCTGCGATTAACTTATCAGGTTCTGTAGTAAGCTCAGATCTCAAGTTGCATTTTCGCCGCTCATTTTTTCCCTCTAATACTCCCCATCAGGCTACTGAGACCTTTACTTTCTGTAAAAGTGTATTTGAAGACACAGAGGTTTTCGTAGATGAGTGCTATGAACTAATTTATAAGAAACTTCGGCAGAGCGGCGTTCTCCCGGTTTAATAATTCCCCGATTTCCAAAATCGCTCTTACGAGGAGATATAAACTTTTTCACCGTTCTTCGCACTGTCGTAAAACGCATCCAAGATTTGCATAAAAGTATACGCATCCGGTGCTGAGACATCTGGCGCGACCTCGCCTGCTATCGCCATGGCGAAATGGTTAAGTTCGTAGTAAAAGACGTGGACCTCTTCGGGCAATTCGCCATGATCGATTTCGAGTGGCGCATCAACGGTTTCTCGGACGAATTCGCCATCTTTAAATCGTGCTATGCCGCCGTTCGTGATTGCGCCGGTGGTGCCGTAAAGTTCAACGGCACTGGCGGAGTCGGAGTGGCTCATCCGGGAACAATCGATCTGGATGGTTTTTCCGCCCTCGCATCCGAGAATACCGGTGAAATAGTCCTCTGCCGAACCCTCTGGTCCATCGTACTGAGGGTAAAGCACGTGCTTAGCAGCAAACGCCCACTCCGGTTTCGGGCATCCCATCCACCACCAGGTGAGGTTGAGTTCGTGCGAATAGTGTTGCCCTAACGAACCGCCCTTCTGCCCGTAAACGTGTAGCCATCGACTGTTGACATCGAACTGTGGGATGAAGTTGTATTTCCCGAAGACACGGGCGTGATACAGGTCACCGATCGCCCCATTCAGCACAGCGCGCCGAATCTTTCGGTTGTTCGGGAAGTGGCGCATAAAGTAGCAGAATTGCAGTGTTTTCCCGGCTTGTTGTGCCGCTGCCTCTATCTCTAATATTTCGGGTGCGCGGATTGCGTGCGGTTTTTGCACTAAGACGTGCTTACCAGCACTGAGCGTATCCAGAACTTGTTGTAGTCTGCCATCTGGAGAGGTCGCGAGATAGACGGCTTCAACGTCGGGATTATCAAGGAGTTCTCGATAGTCGGTATAGCGGTGTGGGACTGCATTGTCATCACCCGCCTGTGCCCGACGGACTGGGTCGCGTTCTGCGATTGCGATGACGTTCAGTCGAGAGGTGGCGTTAGCGGCATTGATAGCTTGACAGCCTGCCCACCCACAGCCGACAACTCCAAGTTGAATGAATCGGTTTGTCATAAGGTTTTGCCTCCGATATTTCTCTGGAAAAGCACTGGAAAATACTGTGATTAAAAAAGTTGCATTAACTCCGAAACGCTATCAAGCACCCATGTCGGTTTCGCAACGGGGTTTTCCAAATGATTGGGTTTAAATTTCCCAGTCCTGACGAGGATACTTCGCATCTTCATTCTTTCCGCCCCAACTATGTCGGTGGTAATGTCATCGCCCACCACAATTGTGTCCCTTGGAGCGAGTTGAAGGTTATCAAGCACGGTTTTGAAGAACGTCTCACTCGGCTTGCCCATAATTGTCGCAGTTTTGCCCGCAGCAGCCTCCAGAAGCGTCACGAACGCACCGCAATCCAAGAATATCCCTTCAGGAGAGAACCAGTAGAGCGATTTTTGGAGGGCGATCAGTTCCGCGCCATCCATCAACAGGCGAAAAGCGTGATTTAAAGCGTGAAAGTCGAAGCCTTCACCGTAGTCCCCAACAACGACAAAATCGGGGGCATCGTCGTCTATAGGTATCTCCTTGAAAAATGCTTTGACGGCATCATCGACCATAAAGTGGCAACTTGCCTCAGACTGTGAGCGTAAGTAGAGGAGACACGCGTAAGTCGCATTAAAAATTTCATCTTCGTAGATGTCAAACCCCAATTCTCGCATCTGCGCGTGAAGCATCTTTGGGGTTTTGGCAGTCGTGTTCGTCAGAAATCGGAGTTGATACTTTTCCTGGCGCAAGTAGTTAACAACTTCGATTGCTCCGGGGCAAGGTTTGCCCTTAAAATAGAGCGTCCCATCCATGTCAATCAGAAAAGCCTTGGGACGCGTTGGGTTCAGCTGCTGCGTTGTATCCTTCATGCGTTACGGTTCTATGACTTTGTAGTGTTCTACCTGCCCGCCGCTAATTGTTTGGATCGTGAGGCTTTTGACGGGGTGACGATTTTCATCGTAATGTGAAATGGTTGTAGCACCTTTGTAACCACTAACTGCAGCGAACGCATCGCGAACCGCAACACGGTCAAGTGAACCGGCTTTTTCTATTGCGCGTGCCAAGAGTCGCATCGCATCGTAGCCCGATGCTGCGATGCCATCTGGTGGACTTCCGAACAGTGCCATGTAACTTCCTACAAATTCTTGAACATCTGTGTCCTGTGTGGCTACAGAGAAATTCGTCGGATAATAACTGTCGTCCAGGACAGTGTTATCATCTAAGATACTAAGGAAGCGTTCCCGATCATCCCATGCACTGCCACCGAGAAAAGTCGCTGTGATGCCAATCTCCCGCGCTTCTTTTATCAATAGTGGAACTGCTGGCTGAAAACCGGGACAGAAGATAACGTCGGGGGAGACCTCTTGAATCTCTGTGAGTAGTTCATTAAAGGTGGTAGCACTGACAGAATAGGCACCGCTGTGGACGATTTCCCCGCCGATTTCCTGAAAAGCTGTCTCAAACGCCTGTACGAGATCGGTAGAATAAACATCGCCCTCCTCGTAAATTGTCGCTGCTGTTTTGGCACCGAGTTCATCAGGGTTCATCGCGAAACTCGCCATCACTTTCCCTTGAAATGGATTAGGGACGGTGATTAAAAAGACGTAATCTCCTGCTGCAGGCACATTTGCGCCACTGGAACCGGGAAGCATGAGCCGCTGTGCTTGCTGTGCGATCGGACCTACTTCAACGGAATTCGTGGAGTAAATGGGACCGAGTAGCGCGAAGACATCCTCCATCTCAATCAGTTCCTTCGCCGCATTAACACTTGCTTCCGGTGTTGGCGGTTCAGTTGCTACAGGTTGGTTGTTTCGACTGATAAATTCTACCTGTATACCGAGTAACCCACCCATTTCATTAATCTGAACACGGGCGGTTTCAGCACCTTGGCTAAAGGTAGTGAAGGTGTCTGACGGCTGAATTACGCCGATTTTTAATGTCGCTTCGGTCGAAGTAGTGGTAGCATCGGGCTGAACGACCTGGTTGAGACGGTCGCACCCTAATAGATAAATACTTAGAAGAGCGGATAGGATAACCGAGGTTAAAATGAAAATTCTCGCACGCATAATGTGGTATTTCTCCTTTTGGCAGAAAATAGAAAATGTTTGAAAAATATTTGGGTTTGTGGTAACCTCTTACCCAGCAAAAACAATAACAGACACCACCGATTTTGTCAAGTTTTGAAACATATCCTTTTGAGAGCGTAAGCAAAAGCGCGTAGCCTGCAACAACGGCGCAGGCGACTCTAACGCGAAAACCGTCAAGATCCAAATTGCCGTTACTGCTCCGCAAGGAAAAATTAAAAAATGGAACTCGGTTTTTTCACAATGCCTTTGCATCCACCCGGCAGTGACACCACCAAAACGCTCGATGATGATATTGAGCAAATGGTAATACTGGACGAGTTGGGCTATAAAGAAGCGTATGTTGGTGAGCATTTTACGTTTACGTGGGAGAATATTCCGTCTCCGGATCTTTTTATTGCAAAAGCAGCTGCGATGACAGAGAACATCGTCTTCGGTACCGGGATTACCTGTATGCCGATACACAATCCTGCCGTTGTTGCGCACCGCATCGCGCAACTTGATCATCAAACGCACGGACGCTTTCATTGGGGTGTCGGCTCGAGTTCTACACCGAGCGATGCAGAGATGTTCATGGCAGACGGGGACAGACGGCAGTCGACCCGGGAAGGGATTGATGCCGTCCTCAAGATTTGGACAGATCCGGAACCCGGACACTACAAGAGCGATTTCTGGGAATTTAAAATTCCCAAAGACCGTCCGAATATTGTCAGCATTCACATGAAGCCTTATCAGAAACCGCATCCGCCGATCGCAATGGCGGGATCGTCCGCTAAATCCGACACACTCGTTCTTGCTGGCGAGCGCGGCTGGATTCCGATGAGTATTAATCTCGCACATGTTCCTATTATCAAGACCCACTGGGACGCGGTGGAAGAGGGAGCGGAAAAGTCTGGCTTATCACCGTCTCGTTCGACGTGGCGTATCGCCCGCGAGGTCTATGTTGCGGACACCACCGAACAGGCGCGGAAAGAGGCACTTGAAGGCACGCTCGGACGCGATTTTAGAGACTATTGGTTTAACTTGTTTAGCCCGGGGAACTTCAAACCGGATCCGGATATGGACGACGCCGACATGAGCCTTGAACATTTATTAGATACCTTGTGGATTGTTGGAAGCCCAGATCACGTGGCAAACCGTTTACGTGAACTCTATGAGGAAGTCGGTGGTTTTGGAGTCTTACTCGCCATGGGACATGAGTGGGATCCTAAGGAGCAGTGGTTGAACTCAATGACGCTTCTCAAGAATGAGGTGATGCCGCAACTGGCGGATTTGACGTAATTGTCAACCGACGCGAAGCGCGATTCCCACGCTCATTAATGCGCAATCAGGAGGCGTCTTATGAACACTACCCTAATGGCAGGTGCCTCAGAGACTGTAATTACCTCCATAAAGGACAGACCTGAGGTTTACGCTGAGTTGTATGCACGCGTGTTAGTGCTCGCCGATGGTGAAAAACAACTCGCTATCGTAACAGCCGACTACGGGCAGTTCACACTCCAGTACAACAAAGTGCTGCTCGATGCAATCCAGGGTGCCACAGGCATACCGCCAGAGCATGTCGTCATTAACTGTAGCCATACACATAACGCTCCGGGTGTAGACGGACGGTGGATAACTGAGGAATCCGAGGCGTGGTTGGCGACCTGTCTTGCTGAATTGGTGAAAGATGCAGTGGACAAGCTTGAACCGGCGACCTTACGCGTCGGACGTGCCCCCGTCCAAGTCGGCTACAACCGTCGCATAATGAATGACGAGGGCCAGATTGTAATGGCACCTAACCCTGAAGGTGCGGTTGTGCCGTGGGTTGATGTGTTAGGGGCTTACGATGCGAATGGAGACATCATCGCAGTGCTGTTCTCTCATGCCGCGCACCCGTGATTGTCCACTGGTCGAGCGAGGAGATAGGTGCTGATTTCCCCGGCTATGCCGTTGAACATCTGCGCAATTTCTTGGCGTTGAAGCCGGAAAGTATTTTACTCTTCGCGCAAGGCTGCGCCGCAGACATCAACGGGTATCCGTTGCGAGGTGGTTTCAGTGCTTGCGATGTTTGCTGGATTCACACTCGCGTTTGCGACACACCAAGCGTTAAAGACTGCGAAAGAGATCCCCGCGGCACCCCTTAAAGCGTGTTCAGAACTTGTCAATTTGCCGTTCCGAGATCCACCATCGGTTACGGAATGCGAGCAGTTAATTGAAGAATTTCCTGACGATGAGCGCTTTGTTGCCTTATTAGAGGTCGCTAAAAGCGGCGAGAAGCGTACCTTACCCTTCCCAATAAGCGCATTTGCAGTTGGCGATGCGCTCTGTTTCTTGTCTGTATCGCATGAGCTTTTTTCAGAATACCAACTCTTTGCTGATCAAACCTCGCCGTTCTCACACACATTTGTTTTTGGCTATACGAACGGCAGTGAGGTCTATATTGCGACCAGAGCAGCTTACGAGTTAGGGCTGAAGGCAGGTTATGAAGCGGGACCCCGGAACCATGCCCTCAGTGGTCCCTATCGGTTAGCACTGTTGCCGTCAGTCGAAGAACAGATTCATGCGGAGATAACGAACCTGTTGGAAAAACTAAAAGAATTGTAAAGTGCCCAGTTTGCGATCCGATGGATTCCTACTAACACTTCCTATCATTCCGATGCCCGTGGTGTGAGAAGCAACGTCATTCGACGCTCTTCAGTTAGGTATCGGTTGACGACGCTGGCGACATCATCCGCAGAGACATCGGCGAATGCACTCGCAAGCTGCGATAAGGTAGGACCATACTGGTATTCTATTGTCCCCCAACTCACACCGAGCTGCAGGAACATCAGGGTCTCTGTTATGTTCTCGGGTTTATTTTGCATGAGCGTTTTCATGTCCGGTGGTGCGCTGAGTTCCATCGAAAGGGACTGCGCAATCATAGGAACCTGAGTGTTGTTCTCCTGTTGTTTTAACGGGTTCATCAGCTGCCGTACCCCGCTGCTTAACCTTTTCTATATCCGTATTCGGCTTGAGTGAGGCACTGACATATAAATATACCTGTTCAGGCGTGACGAGATCAACACCACAGAAAACCTGCCCTGTCAATTCCTTCAATTGGGCATCCTGTATGCAAGCTAACCGCCAAAGCAGACCCGCCATATAGAGTGCCGGGTAGTCTTTGTTTTCAGGGTAAGGAATCGGGTAGGTTTCCATGTAATGCGTTACATTGACATCCCAAGTAGCATTTTGATCTTTCGCTATCTCTGGAGGTACTGTTGGATAGGGAAGTGTCTTCTCGGTTAAGCTGATAGCTCCCAGTTGTTTCTCCATTGTGTGTTCCAGTGTTTCGGGATCAATGCCACCAATAACGCACAAAAGGACGCGATCCGCTTGGACTAAATGCAGATCGCGATATTCCTGAAGTTCACTCAGTTGTGCCGATTGAATGCCCTTGCGTATTGCTATATCGGTTTCACCCTGTCGAAAGACCACTGGTTCCACGCAGCGTGTGCGAACTTATGCGTTGTCAGATTCGCTTCAACATAGTCAATCTGGGATAAGACGTTCGGGCGTGCCTCAGCGAAACTTTCTGCTGAAAAAGGTAAACCGGCAAGCCATTTAGCGTGTAGCTCCAAACCCTGCGTCCATGTATCCGTATTACCGATGAAATCCAAGCGCATATTGTCAGCCATTGTCTCTCCGTTACTTGTGTTGTAGTCAATAGGACCGGCGGTTCGGACTGTCAGGTAATTAACGAGATGGCTCCACTGTGCTTTTGCTTTCCCATCAGTGACGAGCCCAAGGGGCAAATAACTGAAAATACCGACATCCGCGGAATTCTCAACATAGAGATTGACAACCCGGATACCGTTGCTTAACGTAAAGCGTGTCACTTTAGGGGCGGCATTAGAAACAGAAAGGTTTAGGGAAATTCTCTGATGCCTTAGCGGTTGAGATCTTTTCAGCGACTTGGTGAGCCGGTGCCGCTTTTACCCGGGGGTGGGCAGCCTGTCCGACTTGGTTTCGCAGTGCCGGTTTCGCGTCAGTCTCAAGAACGACAGTTGCCTCAATAATTTCAATAGTAGGTTCGGACTGTGCCTCGAAGCTATACGGTCTCTGGAATCTGGCAAGATATTGATGACTCGCGCCGAGCAGTAATATAACCACAACCGCAGCTGTACCAAAAGCGACCCATGGAAACAACGGTTTTCCAGTTGGAGGGGCTACCGGGTTTATGTCAGCAACTTGCCGCATGATGTTCTCAAGTAGATTGCCAGACAATTGCCAACCGCTAAGCGTTTCGTTAATCAAGGATTCTTCTGACTTTTGCAAACGCTCCCGCGCCCGCTGGAGCCGACTTGTAATCGTGTTGACTGATACCCCCAAGAACTTGCCAATTTCCTTCGTGGTCATCTCGCCGAGATAGTAGAGTGTCACCACAGTACGTTCGCTCTCTGGTAATTTTTCAGAAGTTGCTTGACGATTTCATGACGACGTTCAGTCGCTTCTGTCTCGCGCTGTTCCAATATATAACGTTCATAAGTTAACTTATCTATCGCTTTCACAGACGAGTCCCCTAGCGAATGCAACGCAGGTTTTTTCCTACGCATCCAATCTATGCAAAGCCGATTTGCGATGACATACAACCACCCAGCAAATTGATTGCGATCCTTGAGTGTCGGGAGTTTCTTATATGCTTGAAGGAAGGTGTCTTGCGTAATTTCCTCAGCATAATGAAAATCACCAATCTTCCGCCATGCAAGGGCGTGAACACTCTTTTGGTATTTTTGAACTAAGGTGCTGAATGCCTCATCGTTGCCAGACAAGATGCTGTGAATCAACTGAACATCGTCTCTTTCCATCAGAATCCTCCATAATGCGTCAACACAAACGACTGGATTCCTGCTAACACTTCAAATTATTCCAATGCCCGCGGCGTGAGAACCAACGTCATTCGATGATCTTCAGTTAGGTATCGGTCGACGACGCTGGCAACATCAGCCGCAGAAACATCAGCGAATGCACTCGCAAGTTGTGATAAGGTATCCCCATATTGATAGTCAAGCATACCCCACGTTAAACCGAGCTGAAGGAGCATCATAGTTTCTGTCACACCCGCAGGTTTCTGTTGCATTACCATCGTCATGTCCGGAGATGAACTGAGTTCCATAGAAAGGGACTGGGCAATCATAGGGACCTGCCTGTTGTTCTCTTGTTGTTTTAACGGATTCATCAACTGTCCAATCCGTTGCTTAACCTTCTCTATATTTGTATCCGGTTTGAGCGAGGCACTGACATATAAGTATACCTGTTCAGGCGTGATAAGGTCAATCCCACAGAAAACGTGTCCAGTCAATTCCTTCAATTGAGCATCTTGCATACAGGCTATCCGCAAAAGCAGACTCGCGACATAAAGTGCTGGGTAGTCTCTGTTCTCAACGTTGGGAATTGCGTAGGTTTCCATGTAATGCGTTGTATTGACATCCCAAGTGGCGTTTTGGTCTTTCGCTATCTCTGGGGATACTGTTGGCTGCGGAAACGTCTTTGCCGTTAAGCTGATAGCTCCGAGTTGTTCCTCCATGGCAGGTTGCAATGTTTCCGGTTCAACGCCGCCGATAACACACAAAAGGACACGATCCGTTTGAACCAAATGTAGATCGCTATATTCTTGGAGTTCACTCAGTTGTGCTGATTGAATGTCACCACGCATTGCTATATCAGTTTCACCATGCCGAAAGACCTGGTTCCACGCAGCGAACGCCCATTTATGAGTCGTTAATCTCACTTCAGTAGCGTCAATCTCGGACAAGGCATTCGGCAACTCTTCGGTTAAACTTTCCACTGAAAACGGTAATCCAGAAAGCCATTTTGCGTGTAGATCTAAAGCCCTGCATTCAGTTATCTGTGTTACCCCGAAACTCTAAGCGCATGTTATCAACCATGGTCTCCGCACTACTTGTGTTGTAGTCAATAGGACCTGTGGTTCGGAGTGTCAGGTGCTCAATTAGATGGCTCCATTGTGCCTTTGCTTTCCCATCAGTTACAAGCCCAAGGGGTAAATAACTGAAAATACCGACATCCGCGGATTCTTCAACGTAGAGATTGACAACTTTGATGCCGTTACTTAACGTAAAGCGTGTCACTTTAGGGGGGCAGCGGAAGTGAGAGAAAAATTGCCAAGGATGAGTAAGGCCACGATGGCGTGTTTAATTCTGTTAATCATCTTTATATTACCTCCAAGTGTTAGGTCTTCAAAATCTTGTAGGACTACATTAGAGCATAGGGTAGGTTCCTCATGCTTTTCAATCATGTCGCATGTTAGTTTAGAGGGTTACGCATACACCCTCTTAAACTTTCGGAGACAACGGGTAAACAGTGCGACAGCCTCTATATCTTGGCGTTCAGGTGAAAACAGATAAACACCGTTGCCTTTTCTTTCATAGGAAAGCGCGTATAGTCCGCTTGCATGCCGACCGATCGCTATAATCCCAAAAGCATTGCCGCCGACCCGGGGGGTTACCCCAGTTGAACCTGTGGAAATGGCGATAAGTCCAACAGCAGAGAAATTTCCAAAAGCAAAAACCCCCACGGATGTTGCACCGATAGCAATGACTCCAAAAGAGAACGCTCCCATAGAAACAACTCCAAAAGAGAACGCTCCAATAGAGACAATACCAGATGCGATTGCTCCAAAAGTTATGTCACCCAAGGCAGGTCCCCACGAATGCCAAACGCGTAGAAGTGGCGTAATGTCAATTTTGACTTCCAAATATTTCGCTATGCCAAACGCTAAGAAAGGCAAAAAAGCCAAAATCAATAAGATTGCTTCCGATATATGCCACTTTAGGACGTACGCGTCAAACGTTTTTTTGAAAGTTTCCGAGTTAAAAGTTTTTGACATCTTTTTTCTCCTATTTATACAACTGTAGAGTTCCAGGAAACCACATAAATACTGAAGACAAAACACATATAGTAAAATCTACAATTACTTGGACATTGTAGATAGGCGGGGTTAGAAACCCCGCCAGCGAAGGTGGGGTGTTTTGTTTCCCAAGATGTTAACATATTTTCCGATTTTACTATAGTATCGTTAAAACGAAACGATTGTTTTACCCTTTGATTGATTATCTAAAGACGTAATTTCGGTGCAGAAAACGTGCATAATATGAAAAAAAATGAAAATTATCTGTTTTTTAGCAGTTTTTCTGCGGGTGTTGGGTCCCAGATGCACGATAAACCGTCGATTACGTAGAGTCTGGGAGTGTTAACACACAATGCTACAGCCGTTGTTATTTGCATCCACTTAAATGTTGGGTAATGGGAGCGAGATAAGGGCGAGGTAAGGACGAAACGAGGACGAGATCCAAAACATTGACAATGGAAAAATATCCGAGATGAAATTTGTCTATAATGAAAGGTCTTCAGATGCTTTGCATGTGCTAACCTTGGCAGGTCATTATAGTAAAGCCAATAATTATTTTACCTACTGTAGCGCAAACTGTTGATTTGCGCGGCGAACGATACAAACTAACAGTTTGGGCTACAACGCACTTCGACAGGTATGGTTTGGGACCATGCCTGCCGAAGTTTCCACATATTTTGGGTTTTACTATAATCTGACGTTTCCAGACATCTAACTTGTTGACCTTTGCTTATGTAGTCGTGTGACGGGAAACTATTAGGAATATTGAGCTTTTCGAGGCATTCTCGATTAAAAATAGGTTTCTAACTTCGCGCGCGCATTTGAGACACCTTCAATAATCGGTTGTGGCGTTTCCGCTTTCAAGCCCAAATAGATAAGCATGATTTCCGCAGTGTAGCCGACACGGTCTATCTCCTTACAAATAGCGGGAAAATCCATCTCTGGTGCCCAGAACGGCTCGCTTCCTGTCCTTGAATCCACACCGCAGTTGAAATAGACACTGAATAACCGTTCTGACAAGGTTCGCAAGGCGACAACTGGATCGTCTCCGCCGCGATGAAAATGAAACGGACTGTAGTAAAGACCGAAGTTTTCGGAGGGGATCGCATTAAGGATTTGTTGCGTGCGTTCAAGGTTGTAAGCCAGACTCCCTTCGTGCGCATAGAGCGCAAGGGTTAGATTGCGAGCCTGTGCTTCTTCGGTGACCGTTTTGAGATGATCAATGATCGTTTCAATCTCGCGAGCGGTGGCATCTTCATTTCCGCCACTCGCGATACTGACGATTGGAATAGAAAGCCTTTGGGCAGTGTCGAGAATTTCGTGATTAACGCTTCAAGCCCGTCTGGCGCGTCAACCCGCACCGTGCTCAACATAGATTTGAAATGGAGTCCGGTCTCTTCTCGAAGTGCAGCGATAGTATCGGCTTCCACATCCGAAAAATGGGCTTGAGCGAGCTCAATAGCAGACACGCCATTTTGGGATAACCCACCTACGAATTCCGTCAATTGGTAAGGGGAAAATGGGAGGGTGCTTGCACAATAAGTTTTCATTTTTTAATTTATGGCTCCTGGGCTGCCTTCCTCTACAGACATTGCTTCGCAGTGAGAACCCTACGGGGTTCAAGAGGGGACTTCTTAGAATGGTTATCAGTTAAGAGGTTTTCGTTTAACAAATCCCTCTTGTAACTGACAACTGATAATTGATAACTATTAAAACTGACTACTATTTACCCATTGCCTTGAGTGCGCTTAGGCAGCATTCGACAGCCTCAAACGGTGGAAAGGCATCACTTTCATATTCAACGATATACCATTTCGTGCCACCGGTGGTTTCACAGACTCGGAAAATCTCATCCCACGGCACACTGTCCTCGCCGATAACGGGACGGAAGCCGGCGTGCCCATCTGCTGCTTCACCCTCAGATTGGGTGTAAGGTTTGAGATGGACTGTGCCAGCACGGTCCGGGTATCTCTCCAGAATGCCGACGAGATCCGCTCCTCCGTAAAGCGCGTTGCCCATATCCAGTTGCATGACGACTCCCTCGTTCGTGTTGCCGAAGAAGGTGTCCCACGGCAGTTCGCCATCAAGCGGCGTAAACTCAACGTGATGGTTGTGATAGCCTGTCACCATGTCGTGTGCGGCGAGTTTATCGGCGACTCCGTTGAAAAAGTCTGCTAACTTCAACCAGTCCGCTCGCGATTGACGAAGTTCCCCCGGAATACCCGGAACAATGACATAAGGGTTTTCCAAGACTTTTGTTGAATTCAATCGTTTCATCGAGAGTGTCTTCTTGGACGAGGTTGAAGGGGGTGTGCCAACCGCAGCAGACTAAGCCGAACTCGTCAAGTAAGCTTTTCAACTCTTGCGCGGAATGTTGCGGTTGACCCGCGAATTCGACACCTTCATATCCCATCTCGGCGACTGCTTTTATCGTGCCGCGGACATCCTCTGCCAATTCATTTCGGACAGAAAACAGTTCTAAACCAATTGGTACTCTTGCCATGATTTTCCTTTCTTTTTTAGTGGAAATTTGTATATAGTAAAGCCTACAATTAAGGCATACTCCGTGTGCCTACTACACAACGGCTATCTGTAAGAAGTCTTTATATTCTTATCTGTGCAAACGTAAGCCCGTAACGAAGTGGAGGGCTGGCTTTACGTCGAGGAACGTCAATCGTGAGACCACGCCTACCGTCCCGCAAGGTAAATTAGAAAACTATCGTGCTGTGTAATTGGGCGCGAGCGGACAGGTCCGGTGAAGTTCCACCAATGCCACTCGTGCCAAACCGTGGATCAGGTACGCTGCTCCCATTTGCGACTCATACCAGTCAATTCCGGACGCGCCGAAGGGAAGCGTTTCTGGAAAATAGATGTCCAGTACTGTTTCCGCAAGTTGGCGTCCACCTTCTAACCACACCGATTCACCGGTGATATCGTAGAGATCTGCAAACAACTCAAGCGTAAGACCGGCATCCGATGCTGGAATCTTAAAGCCTTCTGTGTGGACGCGATCGACCGGAAATTTCTCATCGAGATAAGTGTTACCAATGGCGCGTGCCAACTCCATCAACCTCTCATTCGGCGTCAATCGCCATCCACCGAGACAAAGCACAGCCGTGCCACATGCCGTTCCAGCACCGTAGACACTCCCCCAAGCTGACATACGTTCAAAAATCCGATTCGTCTCACACTCGCATAGACTGATGAATTCGCGAGTTTCGAGGTTGTGCGGTGCCGCGAGAAATCCGTCAATATAAACCAAGGCGTATTGCCGCATCTGGTCTGCCAATTCCGGTAGGAGCGATTCTAACAACGCGGCGGATTCAAGTAGACTGATCCCCAATGAAAAGGTTTGCGTTGGCGCATTCTTCTCAAAGAACCGTTCAGCTTCCGTCGGTGAGCGGCTTTCGATGCGCAAAAGCCCACGCGCGTCCCGTTTTTCCCACCAGTAATCGGTATATCTCTGAATCTGTTCCCGGATTTCAGGACGTTGATTTTGTGTATACGCGAACGCCAGATCGAAGATGTAAAAACCCGAATGGCGCGGAAAATCACACGCACGTGTACCGCGATCGAGATGTGCTTTTGTGTCAATGTTCGCATGGCGGATATATTCAAACCCGTCACCTTCGGTCCAATGATAATCCAACCCGTCGGCGAAACTTTGGACGCAGTCGGGGTTAAATGTATTCAGTTTTTGCCAGAGCCATAGCGGTGCCTGACGCAGGTGGTCGTGAATAGCGGCTCCTCCTGCTGGGTTTCGTGAACATCCGACCCGTTCCTCAATGATGTGCCAAAAGGAGTGTTCGCCCCAAGGGAATAACCCCGTTGCCGTATTCGTGCAATTCTGGGCAAAGTGTTCCAGGTATCGATCTACGGCTTCAATGTATTCCGGTTTCGATTGACTCTCAGCGAGTGCGTTCATCGTGGCGAGCAGTGGCTCATCGTGAATCAAATTGGATCCGAGATGCGCTCGGTCGCCGTCCCGCTGTCCCGGAATCTTGGTCGGTTTCTCCATAAGCATAGCGCCAGTTTGCGGATGCAGAATCGAGGGAAACAGTCCTTTGTATGGATCGCTACTTTCAATAATCTGGTCGATAGCATTGCATATTTTAGTTATAATTGCTTCTGGGTTCATCGTAAACAAGACCTCCGCCTCTGCTGAATGAGAAATATGGTATCATGAACAGATTAAATGATCAAGTTCGGATTAAGGGAAATAAATAGTTTTCGGACCACGGGCGAATGTTTGTAGTCGTGCGATTCATCGCACGTCCTGAAGGTGTATGAAGGTGTATATAGGGGGCAGTAAATGGTTTCCCTACTACGAACCAATTAACTTGAGGTGTGGCAAACTGAGTGGCTCTGGACGACAACCCATTTTTTTCTTGCCACCTGCTCTCTTGTCTTGTATAATCGTCATGTTTTTCTATACTTCAGACTGAACCCACGATGAACCATCATTTCACAGGAGAAACTTATGCACGTTGGACTTATGGCAGGAACGATTCGGCGGGAAACGCTCGACGAGACGCTGGACGCTATTGTGGAACACGATGTCCACCATTTACAATATCATGTGCCTGCAGGACTGTCGCTTGCGGAGGTTCGTAAGGAGATGGACACTCGACAGATTACGATCTCAGCACTTTCTGGGACTTACAACATGATTGATCCCGATGTTGCGAAACGACACGCTGGATTGCAGATGTTGCGCTCTGTCGCAGCGCAATGTGCTCCGATGGGTACATCGGTGATTACGATCTGCACTGGCTCGCGTGATCCGGATAGCATGTGGCGCGCGCACCCTGATAACAATACACCAGGAGCATGGCGTGATCTCGTTGAATCTATGAAGCAGGCACTGGAAGTCGCCGAGGAATACGAAGTGACGCTCGCACTTGAACCCGAAGTGGCGAATGTGGTCGATTCCGCACAGAAGGCACGTCGTCTGATTGATGAGATGCAATCACCGTACCTGAAGGTTTGTATGGACGGCGCGAATATCTTCCACAAAGGTGAACTGCCGAAGATGCGCGAAATCCTCGATGAGGCGTTTGCACTGCTTGGGGACGATATTGCATTGGCACACGCGAAAGACTTGGATCGCGACGGACAGGCGGGACACCTCGCCGCTGGGACAGGGTTGTTGGACTATGATCAATATCTCGGTCTGCTAAAGGAGAGTGGTTATGACGGCGGGGTAGTGTTGCACGGGTTGTCGGAAGAGCAGGTGCCTTATTGTACAGGGTTTTTGCGTGAGAAAATCGCTGCGCTGTAGTAGTTATCAGCCATCAGTTATCAGCCATCAGTAGGCGTTGTTGACGCGGAAATGTCTTCAAAAAGGGACAACCGTTGTCGACGGAAACCGACTACTGAGAGTGGAGCGATAGCGGAACGCCCTGACCGCTGACTGCCATTATTAGATTTCTCCAGACATCCGTTCTGCCAACCGAGCAAGTGCCGGTGACGTGTCCAATTTCCCAAGTTCCGCCTCAATCAAGGTAAAGTGTTGCGTTTCAGCAAGTGCCTCTCTGATGGCTGACGTCAAACTCGCCTTCGGTTCGGACGTAGAAGCCGCGTCCTGTGCCGAACAGTGTTGGTATCGAGCTATAGTTCCAACACCCTATGTCGTTAAAAGGACCATCGAGAAGGTGCCGCTCGGTGCCGTATCCGTGATTATTTAAAACAAGCACAATCGGATTAAGTCCGTAGCGAGCGACTGTTGAGAGTTCAGTGCCTGTCATTTGGAAGGCACCATCTCCGACGATAACGAGACACCGCGTGTGGGGCATACTCAGCTGCGCGCCAACGGATGCTGGCACTGCAAACCCCATTGAGGTGTAGTAGGCAGGACTGATAAAGTTGGTGCGTTGATGGATCCGCAATTCCGCAGCCCCGAAAAGGCTGTCGCCGACATCGGCGATAACCGTCAGTTCATCGTTTATGAATTCATTCAGGTGTTGGAAATAGTCGGCAAGTTGTTAAAGGTTTGTTAGGCTCGACCCGAAACGGTTCCGTATCTGGAAGTGCCCATTCCAAATTTGGTTTCCGTCGTTTTCGGAGTTTTGGCGAGTTGATACCGTCAATAAAATCGTCAAACATCACCTCTTCATAATTGTGGTAGCGGACTGTAATTTTTTCCGAGGTGGCGTAGATAGAACGTGCGCGGTCGAGGTTTGCGGTGTAAATCCCAAGATTCACATCCGTCATGAACGCCCCGAGGATAATTACGCAATCCGAGTCTTCAACAAACTGTCGGACCTCTTGTCTCCCCATCGCACCTTCATAAATACCCAAGTAGAGCGGATGTGATTCCGGCATCACCGATTTTCCGAGAAGCGTCGCCACTACCGGAATACGTTTTTCTTCTACGAGTCTAAGTAGTTTGTTTTGATAGCCGAATCTGTGGAGTTCTACGCCCGCGAGAATGACGGGTCTTTTACTGCGATTAATGAAATCAACAGCATCTTCAACGGCGGCATCCAAGATTTCCGGTTCACTGAGGTGTCCACCCGTTGAGGGACGCTGGTGGAGTGTGCCACGGACATCCACCATATCGCGTGGGAGTTCAATATATCCTGGACGTTTGTAGCGATAGACAGCATCAAGCACCCTGTCGATTTCGTTAAAGGCAGTAAAGGGTTCATCGAGGAGTGCCGTCGCGACGGTGATCTCGTCATAAATCCGTTGCTGTGTGTGGAAGTCCCTGACTTTATGATGAAGGAGCGCATCTTTCCCATGTTCTCTGATGCCCGGTGCACCACTAATAACAACGACGGGTGATTTCTCGGCGTAGGCACCTGCGACGGCGTTCACCATTGATAATCCACCGACGCAATAGGTGACACAGGCGGCACCCATGCCTTTTATCCGCGCGTATGCATCGGCGGCATAGCCTGCTGCGTCCTCACGGGTCATACCGATATGCTGAATTGGACTCTGCTCGATGAGGTTATAGAACCTCAGTACATAATCACCCGGAACGCCGAAGATATGTTCAATGTCGTAGCTTTCCAGTTTTCTGAGTAGGTATTCGCCGATCGTTGGGGGTCTGTTGTACATGGTGGTACCTCGCTGTGTGTATTTATTTTAATTAACTCGTTTATGACATTAACTGTATTGAATTGGGTGGGTTAGTTTTCTAAAATGTGTGACAATGATGGAACAACTCTGAGAAAATGGCACTATGATATTGCGTTTCATTGTCAATATCCAATTAGAGTAATACCCTTCAACGGCAGTACCAACCGACTGCTAATGTATAGCGTTTCCAAAAACGTATAAACTTTCTGAAAATCGTCGCTGTTTCTGTAGTTATTCCTGACAGCCAAGACCAAAAATTCAACACCATGCATCATAGATGCCTGAAAAATATCTTTCAAAAACGCAAAATTAGCGGTTGCTCTGCCTGCTTCAACTTCAAGAACTATTTTCCGATCATTACTTATGCCATCGGCATTAAAGGATTGGTCAACGGCGTTATTCAAACCGAAGAGAACGGGCACAGGAATTTTTTGTCCTATTGCTTTTCCAGTTTCGACTGTGAATCCGATGTGTTCAAGGTGGGGTCTTAATATATCCAAAACTTCGTTGCTTTTCAGTTCGTTTTCAGGAGATTTTATCTGTTCGTATGTTCGTTCAAAGCATTCAATGATATGTTGAATTTGCTCAGTTATTCCCTGAGATCTGGGAAAAAGTTGGTATTTCAGCATCCCCATCAATCCCTTGCTTTTTATAGTTATGGTGGCGGATCCCGTTGAATCCAAATCTACGTTGCGGTTAAGATTTCGAGAAATGCTGTCATGTATCCGATGGCGTAGGCACGACCGCGGTGTCCCCAGTCTGTGTCATCAACGACGTGTGGAACATGGTCTGTAATCATGAAGCCTGTAAAACCGACCTCTTTCAGCGTACGCATCACTTCAAACATATCGCAATTGCCGTTGTTAACGAAGGATTCAGCGAATTTTGGGACATGTCCTTGGACATCTCGGAAATGGACGTAGAAAATTTTGTCGCGTTCTCCGAAATAACGGATCGCGTCCGTGACACCCGGTCCCATTTCGGACCAGGAACCGACACAGAAATCGAGTCCGTGTATTGGACTGTCGGCGATTTCCATCCCGCGTTTGAAGCCCTCAAAGTTACGGAACAGACGCGGCACCCCCGCAAGGGTTTCGACGGGAGGGTCGTCTGGGTGGAGTGCGAGTTTAACGCCTGCCTCTTCTGCAACAGGCAGGATGGCATTCATGTAATACTCGTAATTGTCCCATATTTCGGCTTCGGTGAAAACACGTCCATGTGATAGGGGCGCGTCTTTAACCTGTTCCATGTCAAAACTGGTAACAGCGGCACCGCCTCTCCCCGGTGTGGTTCGGGAGGTCCGCCAGACCTCATTGGGCATCCAGTGGTATCCGAAAATTTCAACGCCTGCCTTACCGAGGTTTCGGATCGTCGTTGCCATGTTCTCAATTTGCGCGTCGCGCCCGGGCAAGCCGAGCATCGCTTGGTCGTAAAATGAGACAGGCACATTCTCAAGCGCCGCTAACCGTAGTCCGGCATTTTCTATTTCTGTCCGGAGTTGAAGAATGTCCATGAATTCCCACCGCTCTGTGCCGGGAAGTTGTGGCGTGTTGAGTAGCACATCTTCGACCCCAAGTTGCTTGATGAATTTCAACCGTTCTTCGCTGAGTTCACTGAACTGACCTAAGCCGAGACGCATTTTCCGAGCCATAGTTGTTTCTCCTTCGCGGGTTCAAAACTGTTTGTCGCTATCCAGTAAAATGGTGACGGGACCGTCGTTAATGAGTTGGACATCCATCATCGCTTGAAAGGTGCCGCCTTGCGTACGGATGTTTTGCTGTTCTAAGGCGGTGATGAACTGTTCATAAAGTGCATTCGCGGTTTCGGGACGAGCGGCTTTGATAAAACTGGGGCGTCGCCCTTTTCGGCAATCGCCGTAGAGGGTGAATTGCGAGACAACGAGTGCCGCCCCTCCCGTTTCAAGGAGTGAGCAATTCATTTTACCCTCCGCATCCTCGAAGATACGCAGATTTGCGACTTTGTTGGCAATGTATTCTAATTCTGTCGTTGTATCCTCATGGGCAACGCCGAGGAAAATAAGTACGCCTGCGCCGATTTCCGAAACGAGTTCGCCGTCTACCTTAACACTCGCTGATTTGACGCGTTGAACAACTGCTCGCATTTTTTTATTTTCCCTTGCAGAGTAATTGAGTGAGTTTCATGGGTTTAATTTTTTCTTAATAATTCTCCTGATTTTTATGCTAAAAGAGCAAATTTTCACCCTCAAGACCCTGTGTATCCTCGCCACCGAATGTTAGGTTAAACTGGAATCCGGGCTGGTTGTTGAATCCGAGTTGGAATGCGAGCGTGTTCGATATTTCATAGCGGAATGCGATCCCGATGAGGTTCGTCACGTGTATACCCGCATACGGGAGTTCGCGAGAGAAATCGGCTATCAACCACATATTATCTGAGACAGCAATCTCACTGCCTATTTGCCAATTGAGTGTAAAGAAATCTGTCGTTTTAAGTGCCTTTGATGTCAAGAAGACGCCGACACCGGCGTGGAGTTTAAAGAGGTTTCCAAATCTTTGGGTGCCAACGAGATAGGTATTGATTCCGAAAAACGGAAACCCATCGGCAGGACTGTGGTCGAGGAATTCCTTGTCCGAATTGAGCCGATCATCGGCAGTGAACCCGAACTGCGCGTCGCCACCGACAGAAATGCTGGGGAAATTATCGTTCCGATCCGGTTTGATATTGTATTTGAGTCCGATGACACCGTCGAACAGCGGTTGGTCATAGACACGGCGATTGATGTTTGGGTCGTCGCTGGTTTCAGTGGCAGTATTATAGAAATCGTGGACGATTTTCCGCACGCCACCTGTCGAGAATGTGCCGCCGAGCACGAGATCGAGTTCGTCGCTTAAACCGTAAGAGAATCTGACGGGGACAAGGAAGGTCTCGATCTGGAACGTTACGCGATGGGTTTCCTCAAACCCGCCGATGTCGACCTTCTGGCTGAGGTCGGGTAGCAGATCCACTTTGGAGTATTGAAATAGTCCGAACGTGGTGCTTGAGCCTCCCTTACCCACTGGTCTCTGCAGTTTGAATGGTACTGAGATGTGAAATGGGAGGTAATTGTGCCCACAAAGGCGTTGCTATGCCCATGACAAGCAATAAAGTACAAATAGTGTAATTTAATTTTTCCTTGCGGTTAAATAACGTGAGTCTCAAATTTGACGTGCTTTCCATAAATCCGCCCTCCATTTCATTACGGGCTATATGCTTTGGTTAGAAATAAGAAATTATATTGTTATTCAGGCAATTACTTCGCCTCCACGAGCGCGCTTTCGTCCCGTCGTCCGTCGGGTCCAGGTGTATTGTCAAAGGCGGTTATGTAGTAATGCTTAAATTCGAGGGACTGCCCGACGAGAATCGGGTCTTCGCCAGGAATAGTGAAGTTGCGCTCCTTAGGTCCGACTGCAGGACGAGGGAGAAGTTTTCCAGCCGCGTCTCTGGTATAGAGTTGATATCCAGCGAGATCCGGTTCGGTGTTGGGTGTCCATGAGAGAACCGCATCGTATTTTGTATTAAAAAGGGAACGAGGTTGGTAACGGACCCGAACGTTTTTTGGAGGTGCGGGCGGTACATTTGGCACTGCTGCAGTGATCGTAGTGATTGCCTCTGCGCCGAATTCATCAACACCAGCGACACGGTAGACTTTTCGAGTGCCATCGACTTGGAAATTGTGGTCGAAATAGTAAAGTTGATCTCGCTTCGGCTCGGCAATTAGTTTGAAACGTAGCGGTTTGTCATCTTCGGTATCGAGTGCGGCGTAGACGCGGAAAATAGAAAAATCGTAAGGGAATTCATAGCCCTCCCAAAAGAGTTTGATGGTGAGGTCGGTCGGATCGCCGAGTGTTACGTTCGGTGCAGGAGGTGGGACGCTTGGGGTCGCCACAGCTGTTTTCCAGATGCGGCGTGGGTCTTCACTCTCAGCAGGCGGATTTGCTGGGTCCGGCGTTTCAACACCGTTGGCATCAAGATAAGTGATGCGGTATTCGTAGGCGAGAAGCCGCCCAGACGCATCGCGTCGGTCGTTTTCGAGACGTTGGGTGTCAATATATTCGTTCGCGGGGGCATCGACAGATCCGACTTGCTGAAATTCCGTGTCTGCACCACCTGTGGAGCGTCTGTAAATATGGTATGCTTTGATGCCCTCCTGTCCTGTGTCGCTCCATGTGACCCGTACTTGCTTATCGCCTGCATGAAGCGTGAGACCATCAGGCGCGCCGGATGTCCGCAGGTTCTCGGGGTCGAGTGGATTCGCAAAGTCTTCGTTACTTGTACAAGCATTAAAGAAAACGAATACAAACAACATAGGAAGGCTTAGCACAACAATAATCTTACGGGTGGAGAGTCTGCAGAAAAAGTCTGAACTATGATTTTTATGATTCATGTGATTCACCATGATTATCGGAAATTTCACCCCTACGGGTTTGAAGAACACCTCTTTACTGATAGCCGATGGAAACCGATGGCTGACGGCTATTAAAAAAAGTGCAGAAGGCTTAGACTCGCACACCGAGTCTGGAAATCGTAGTGCGGATGCAACTGGAACGGGGTCCTTGGAAGTAGTAGGTTCGTGTTTTCGGAGAGGCGATTTGTGAAACCGCTAAGACGTGTTAGTGGGATCTCGATATCGGTTTGCCAGTTTTCCGCTGAAGATACCGAACCCTCTACAAGTTCCGGCGTATCAAGCTGACTATAGATTGAGAAAAGCACAGCAAGTCCCACAAATCCAAGACCCACGCCGGACATAATAGTACTGGCATTCCGCCTGGCAAGGAAAGCGTCTTTGTGTGTTTGGATGTCTGCTTGGATTGCCGCGTTGAGATAGGTATCGTAATGGTTCTGAGAAGAGGCTTTGAGGAAGCTGCTTCCAAACTGGAGACTCATGCCCGAGGCAAAGAGGGCAAGTGGTAGAACGCGCGAACGGCGCGCAGCATCCGCGTGCTGACTCGTTAAGATGAAAATGAAGACACAACTGAACGCAAATGCCATGTATTTCTGAGGGGTGCTATAACGTTTCATGTCAACTTTGTTCCTTTGTTGGGAAATCTGTTTCTATAAAGTTTACCCTATTTTTTGTCGAAAGTCAACGCTTTTTGTCATGATACGGGAGTCGCGATTTGCGGGTCGCTCTTACCGGAATGGTAGCGCATTTAGTTTGCGGTTGTCAGTTAGCGGTAACGGGAAATCTCTTTTTCCAGTTTACGTAAAAATGAAACTGAATACCCCTACGGGAATGACGAATCTATTGACATTTGGCAAAATGCATAGTAAAATTAAAGAGAACCTTTTGAAATCGAGATTGTCTTAATTACAAATAGAGGTCTACGAACCATCAAGCACGTATGCACGGTTTCCAAGAGTGCAACGGAGAAGAGTAATGAAATGGAAAATCGCTAACAATCGAAAAAGCATCATTATGGGGTTAGGGATCGGTTGTGTCGTATGTCTACTCCTCGGGTTTGGGATACTGCTTTACGCGCAAGACAAAACGAAAGTGGAATTTATTGGTACAAAGCCGGAGATGAACTCGGTCAAAAAACCAGAAATGGACTCGGCTAAAACACAGGCAATGATGAAATGAAGGAGCAGGCTCCAGCACAAAGCAATAGGTTCCGTGAACGTCAAAGTCGAGGGAGAATTGACTTTGGAGAAAATGCAGCGTTCTACAAAGAGATTATTGATAACAATCTCTTTCGTCCCCTTGGGTGGACACCTCCGAATAACGAACCTGCCTATAGTTTAATCGGTACTGCCGTTGGCGCAGATGGCGGCCTGTCGCAGGCGACGCTGCTCGAGAAAAGATCTAACCGGTATCACTTTGTGACGATAGGGACAAAACTCGGCGATATGACAGTAAAAGACATTCAAGCCAAACAGGTAACCTTAGACAAAGCCGGAAAACCAATCGCACTGAAGGCAGGGGAACTACAGTTTCTGACGACCAGTCGAGGCCACGATGGCAGCAGAGGTGAAGCACGTGGTGAAGGTGGCTCCGAAAAAGAGAGCAATAACAACGCTGGGCAAAACCGAGGCAAACAGACGGATGATGCAAAGCAGAAACAAATGGAGCAGCAAAAGCAAGCTGCACAGATGATGGAAAAAATGAAGGGCGCTTCAGAAGAAGAACGGCGAGAGATAATGCAGCAAATGCGGAGAGGACGTACAGAACGCGGTGGTAGAAGGGGTCGGAATCGCGATCGGTAGTCTACGGCTTACACGTATCAGTCTTCTTTCAAGGCGCGGTTTTAAAACCGCGCCTTTCTTTATTTAAATAACTACGCTGCGTCTTGGACGTTCTCTGGCATGTTTTCAAGTCGGGAGAGCCAGTAGCCGATATCAAACGAGTCATCGCCGATGAGGAAACGCCATTGTTTGATACGGTTGACGATTTCAAGCCGCACATCGTTCCCATACCATTTGTGATTTCTGCCTAAAGCACCGTGGATCCCCGGTGTGTCGATATCGTCTGTGTTCCAGAGTTGACACTGACGTACCGTCGGGTTGAGACGGAGCTTGAACATGTAGCGCGTCTGATCCGTCAGGTTAGGTTGCGCACAGTGCCACATCCCGTGATGTACCACGAAGAGTGTGCCTGCATTACAGGTGATAGGCAGCTGCCCGAGGAAATTTTGATAGCGCGCGATGTCCGTTTCACACACACGGCGATAGTGGCTCCCCGGTAGAATCATCGTTCCTCCCATTTCGCGCGGCGTGTCATGCGAGAAATAGAAGAATTGGATGTCAAAATGCATCCGCAGGTCAATAATCGCATCCGCATGCCAAATTTGCCCTATATTGTTTTGAGGGCGGACGATATGAACGGCGTGATGATCGTAGAGCGGATTTTCACCCACCAGACTTTGGATAATGCCCTGTACTTCGGGAAGGCGGAAGACTTTGCCGACAGCAGATTCATCCGCCCAAACCTCGTCTAAAACCGTGCCACCGCGTCCACGCACGATAATACCTTCTTCCATTTCCGCATGGGCGGCTTCATTTAATTCGCGGGGAATTAGTTCGTCGAAACGAAGGAGACCATCCGCTACGAAGTTCGCCATCTGTTCTGTATTAAGCAAATACTTTTTGTCAATCATTAGATTTTCTCCAATTTCTCCAGGATATATTCAAACCTGAGATATGAAGTATGATATTCCATGCCGGGATAGGCAGGGAATTGTTGTGGAAACTGAATCACCCGCCAGCCGTCTTGCATCGCTTCCACAACCGAGTTATAGGGGGGTGCCTCGCTGTCCCCTGTGGTATAGCGTTTTTGACCCGTACCGTCGTACAGTGCCCAAGCGACAACGCCACTGTTCAAGTCGGGCGTGTGCAAATGCAGCACGAGGAGTTGTTGCCTTAATTCAGACATATTTTTAATTGTTCCTTGCGGAGTAATAGAGTAGGGTCCATGTTTAGCGTGCCTTCCACTTGAATCGCCTGCGCTGTTGTTGCAGGCTTGCGGTTGTGTCCTACGCGAGAACCTGCGCGTAAGCGTAGCGGAGTGCAGGGCGAAAACATAATAAATAAAAAACCTTATCTCTTGGAATCTACCGAGCCGCTTGTGCTTTAATTTGACTCCACGTCGTCACCAGTTTCCCGCCGGGTTGAACGTCTAACGTAACTACCATCCCATCTTCTATTAATTCGTTAATTTCCTTCTCACTGAGGGATTTGTCATAAAGCACTACCTCATCGATAGCACCCGTCATCCAATAGTTACCGATGTCGCACCCACCGATAAAGAGCAGATTATCGCTGGTATCCGGTTTCGTTCCTGGCGATACTTGTGCGTCTACTTGCCCGTTGAGGTAGAGTTTGAAGTCAGAGCCATCGTAAGTACCTGCGACGTGATGCCAATCACCATCCGTGACAGCGGTTTTCGCATCAAATGATTTCCAACCAGCGTTTGTTGTGAAGGAGTAATGGATGACCCCCGTGTTGATGTTGCCGAAGAGTCCATAGTTTCTGCCAGTCGGGTTGCGATTTTCTTTTGAAGCAACAATCTGCCACGCCCCAGAAATCTTAGGGATATTGACCCATGCAGCAAGTGTGAATTCCTCAAGGTCGAGGGCATCATCATCGGAAACAGTTACCATATCCGATCCGCCGAATTCCATGGCACCATCAAACTTGCCTTTAACCCACTTCGGCTTGCCTTGTGCGATTTTTCCATCCAATCCGTTACCGGAAGAATCCTTAACGGCTTCCCCTTTGCCTTCATCCAGCAGCCACACACCGACCAAACCATCTGTATCCAGTGCCACGACATCGGTCGCCATGAAATGTGTTAGCACACAAAGACTCAAGACCAGAAATGTTAGTACTCTGCACATCAGAAATTCTCCTTGTAAGACAGTTCCTCTCAGAAGTATTCAATTTAGACGACGGTTTCAGAAGGTATCGTTGCGTCCTTTGGAACAATCACAATACCATCCCGAATGTAGTAGTCTTCGCCATCGTGGTTATCAACCCCATCCCGGTTGACAAGTACTGAATTATCACCGATACGCGCATTTTTGTCAATGATTGCATTCTGAATCAGACAATTTCGACCTATGCCGATGTTGGGTATACCTGACTGTGCGTTCTCAGCCCGTGATTCATCTGACTCGTAGTAGTCTGCTCCCATGATTACCGATTGGTAAATTCGACTGCCGTTGGAAATGATACTTCGGATACCGACGATCGTTCTATCGATTTCCGAATCATCGATGATAGAACCCTCAGCGAGGATCGAAGATCGGACGCTACTGCTATTGACTTTAGTGCTCGGCAGATGCCGCCGGTTGGTGTAAATTGGTGCCTGCTCATCGTAGAAATTGAACTCAGGTGCTGTGTCGGTGAGTGCTATATTTGCCGAATAGAAGGAACGTATCGTACCAATATCCTCCCAATAGCCATCGAAAAAGTAAGCAGAAACTCGGACCTTCTGAATACTCTTCGGGATAATATCCTTGCCGAAGTCGACGTTTGAGTCATCTTGAAGCACTTCTTGCAAGACTTCGCGGTCGAAGATGTAAATTCCCATTGAGGCAATGTATTCCCTACCGTGTGGTTCGATGCCACGCGAGGTAAAGACCTCGGGTTCAACGCGTAGACGATGCAGTTCCTCCTCAGTTTGCGGCTTTTCAACAAAGTCAGTGATACGTCCATCCGAATTCGCCTGAAGAATGCCCAGTCCGCTCGTGTCCTCTTTTTTCACTGGAATCACAGACACGGTGATGGCGGCATTAGATTCGGTATGAACTTTGAGCATTTTGCGATAATCCATCCGATAGAGATGGTCACCGGCGAGAACCAGAACATAATCGTCTGCGAAACGTGGGTTGAGAATGTAAGGTTCATTGTGTTTGATTGCGTCCGCCGTTCCTTGATACCACTCTTCGCCCATCAGCGTTTGTTGCGCTGCAAGGATTTGGACGAACCCGCGGCGGTATGTATCGAAGCGGTATGTCTGCGCGATATGTCGATTCAAGGAGACAGAGTTAAACTGCGTCAGGACATAGATACGTTCCAAGCCTGAATGGAAGCAATTGCTGATCGGTATGTCCACCAGTCGAAATTTACCTGCGATCGGGACACTCGGTTTCGCCCGGTCGCGTGTCAGCGGGAATAAGCGTGCGCCGCGGCCGCCTCCAAGAATAACTGCAATAACGTTCCCGTTACTCATAAACGTTCTCCTTTGTCCGTGCTTGTAGGTCTCGTCGACGTAAGTACGCGCTGACCGCTGATAGCCGAAGGCTGACAGCCCTTATAAAACGTCAAAACTATAGGCTTCCCTTGGTAGATAGGACACCCGTAATACGTTCATCAAGACGTGTCGCAATATGTAAAGCTTTCGCAACGGCTTTAAAGATCGCTTCAATGATGTGGTGTTGATTTGTGCCGTAGGGGACGTTGATATGTAAAGTTGTCCCGCTATGGTTCACAAACCCGTGAAAAAATTCTTCAGTGAGTTCACTATCAAAATCGCCGACTTTCCCGGTCACGAGCGGGGTTTCGTAGTAGAGGTAAGGACGTCCGCAAACATCCAAGTCTACTTTGGCAAGGGATTCGTACATTGGGATGGTGAAACTGCCGAAACGTTGCATTCCCGCTTTGTCCAGCACCGCTTTTTGGAGGGCTTGCCCTAAACAGATACCGACATCTTCAGTCGTATGATGTGCATCCACATGTAAATCGCCTTCCGCTTGGATTTCCAGATCGAAGAAGCCGTGTTTGGCAAAGAGTTCCAACATGTGATCCAGAAATCCAACACCCGTGTTAATATTGGCTGCTCCGGTCCCGTCAAGGTCAAGCCGAAGCCGGATGCGGGTTTCTGCTGTTTCGCGGGCAATTTCTGCCGTTCTGTCCATTTTTTTAATTGTCCCTTGCGGTTCGGTCAAATCGGTGTTTTTGCTTGGGTGTTTCCCCAGGGATTTCACGTTTCTTTCCGTATATCCGCTTTCCACTTCGTTTCAAGCTGCGTACTCTTATTATACGCTTAGAAATGGTCTTGAGCAACACGAAAACAGATGCTTCACTGTAGGAGCGAGCTCCTGCTCGCGATACTTTTATGCCCATGTTACAAGTCCGAGTTCATGCGAAGATTGTAAATCCTCGTGGCAAGGTAAGGCACGGACGGTGTAACCGTGTAATCCGGTCTGTTTCAAGGTGAGTGACCCTTCAAAGAGATAGGCGCCACCTCCAAGGTCGGCTTGATACTCCATTGGATTGAGACTTCCATCGTGAATTTCGCCCGCTTCATCTAACACGCCGTGGTAAATTTGGACGGTGAGTTCGTGCGGAAACAGCACGTCGGTGTGGACAACCGCCTGCACTGTTGTAGATTCACCGACACCCAACTCAGGATTTTGAATCGCAGAAGCCGTCGCATCGGTATGTCTCTCCTCAATCCGTAGATCGCCCCAATGATCTTGTATATGTGCTTTCCAGCGAGTTAAGGCGATACTGCGCTTTCCGCCTGATTCATTGAGATGCTGCCAGCGGCGGTGCGCTGGGAAGTACAACTGCTCTGCGTACTCCGCTACCATCCGCTTTGTATTGAAAATAGGAGCGAGGTTCTGCATCGCAGTCTTCATCCGAGCAACCCATTCGTACGGCACATCGTCAATAGGGTTACGCTGGTAGAAGAGGGGCACAATCTCTTTTTCAAGAAGTTCATAAATGGCATTGGCGTGTGCTTTGTCGGTGGACTTTGAGTCCCCAGAAGTAGCACCGGCATTGATTGTCCAGCCGCCACCGAGATGATTTGCCTCTGCCCACCATCCGTCTGCAATGCTGAGATTGAGGACCCCGTTCGCTGCTGCTTTCATGCCGCTTGTACCGCTCGCTTCGTTAGGACGTAACGGGTTGTTGAGCCAAACGTCAACCCCTTCAACAGAGATAGCGTCCGACACAGATATCGTAGTTCTCAATGAAGACGATTTTATGATAAAATCGTGGTTCCGATGCAATACGGGAGATGCGCTGAATGAGCAATTTCCCCTCATAGTCATGTGGATGTGCCTTGCCCGCAAAAACGAGTTGAACAGGGCGTTCTGGATGGTTGAGAATCTTGTCGAGACGGTCGACATCTTGGAAGAGTAAGGTTGCCCGCTTATAGGTTGCAAACCGGCGTGCAAACCCGATAGTTAATGCCGCTGAATTGAGAATTTTAGTTGCGACACTCTCGCTTTCCTGAGAACGCTTGGAAGCCACACTTCCGAGGGCGTGTTTCTGCTCTTGTCGCTGGCGCGCGAATGTAATAAGACGTTCGCGTCGGCGTTCGTGTGTTCGCCACAACTCAGGATCCGGAATCTGCGAGATCTGTGTCCAAACTGCTTGGTTTGTAAGTTCAACGATCCAGCGAGGACCCAGGTACCTGTCAAAGAGGCTCTGCATATCACCGGAGACCCAAGAACGGGTATGGATCCCATTTGTAATCGCGCTAATAGGTACTTCATGCACGGGTGTCCCGGGCCAGAGGTCCTTCCACATCTCACGGGAGACATGACCGTGTAATTGGCTCACGCCGTTGCTCATTGCTGAGAGTCGGAACGCGAGGAGCGCGGGACTGAATTCGCTGTGTGTATTGGTCGGATTTGCTCTGCCAAGACCCAGGAAAGTATCAGCAGAAACCCCGAGTTCCCCATAGTAACCACTGAAGTAGTGATTCACCAACTCAGGCGGGAACCAGTCAATACCGGCAGGGACCGGTGTGTGCGTTGTGAAGATGTTTCCTGATTTCGTAGCTTCGCAGGCTTCTTCAAAACGGATTCCTGTCTCCAGCATGAGCTGTCGGATGCGTTCAATTGTGAGGAACGCAGCGTGACCTTCATTCATGTGGCAGATGGTCGGTTGTATACCAAGTGCAGTCAAAGCACGGTATCCACCGATACCTAATAGAATCTCCTGTTTGATGCGAAGGCGTTCGTCACCGCCGTACAGGTAATCTGTTATGTTCCGTAATTCCTCACTCTGATTTTCGGGGATATTCGTGTCGAGGAGGTATAAAGGGACGCGTCCGACTTGTGCACACCAGACTTTAGCGAATGCTTTCACCTTCTGGATACGTGACTTCTACGAGAAGAGGGGTTCCATCAGCGCACTTCGCTGGCTGGATGGGCATATTGTAGAAGTCATTCGTTGGGTAATCAGCCATCTGCCAGCCATCTGCTGTGAGCGTCTGACGGAAATAGCCGTGCTGATAGAGCAGTCCGACTGCAACAAAAGGCAGACCTAAGTAACTTGTGGACTTCAAATGGTCGCCCGCTAAGATACCTAAACCGCCGGAGTAGAGCGGCATACACTCTGTCAATCCGTATTCCATTGAAAAATAGGCAATTTTTAGGGTGTTGAGTGTATCGTCGTTATGATTTGTTTCAAACCATGACGCAGTTTTATGGTATTCTTTAAACTTTTTGTGGATGACTTCAAGGCGGGCGAGGAATACGCTGTCTTTTGCAGCGGCATCTAACTGTTCTTGGGGGATTTGACCGAGCATCGCAATCGGATTGTGATATGTCTTTTCCCACAATTCGGTATCAAGATGGCGGAATAGACCCAAGGCTTCACGATCCCAAGTCCACCACAGATTTAAGGCAAGTTCGCGCAGGGGCTCAAGATTCGGCGGTAATGTCGGCACCACTGTTAATTGGCGAAGTGGCTTCATCTAATCCGTTCTCCTTCCGAAATCTATACGATTTCTGCGTCTGATTGTTGTGTTTTTAAGGTGATGTAGGTGCCCTGTTTGCGTCGCTCGAAATCTAATTTTCCTTCGCGAGCGAGCCAACCGAGACCCATTAAAATTGTCCGTTCGTTTTCGCCGATTTCGCGTGTTAATTTTGTAACAGTGGCTTCGTTGTTATCTTCGAGATAGCACCATATAGCACCCGCTACACTTCCAATACTTTCTAACATTTCTACCTCCATAAAGGATTTTAATTTTACCTTGCGGTTAAACGACGTGGGTTAAGACTTTGACGCGCTTTTCTCAGGAGTCGCCCTCCACTTCGTTACGGGCTTGGTTTCGCGTCTAACGTTGAACATACCTTAACCAATGCCTGGTGTGACTTGCGCCGGAATCTCTCAAGAAAACGCGGCGTTGTCGCACAAGCCTTCATAATATATTATAGTTGCTTTTGGCGAGGTTGTCAAGGACAAAGACTTGCGTAAGAAACGTCCAGAATTCGGGGTTTTAATATCAATCACACCGCTGTGGCAATCGAAATAAAGGGTCTGAACATTTTGGAATTTAACAAGTAGTGTATGCCCTCAATACACGGAATTTGACACCTGTTCTGATATTATGATATAATCTTCCGTGAAGAGGGACACTTTTATAATTTTTTCATCCTTTTGGGTTTTGCTTGCAAGCCCGCATAAAAAACGTTAGATGAGGTAAAAAATTTGAGTATTGTTGTTCATGTGACACACGAAGCTATCCAAAAAATGGGTGGCATCGGGGCAGTTTTAGAAGGGTTGCTGACCACCCGCAGTTACAACGAAGCGATTGAACGCACTTTTCTCGTCGGGCCCCTCTTTCCTGGTGCCGACTTAGGAGAATTGGATGCCGTGCTGTATCGCGCGAGCGAAGGGATAGCAGACACACCCTACGCGAAAGCTCTCAGCGAGATTGAGCAGGTTTATCATGTAGAAATCGTTTACGGACAGCGGAAGTTTGTGGATAAAAATAAGAACGTTACAACCCTCACAGACGTAATCTTGGTGAACGTATCGAATAGCAACGAAGTTCAGACGAGTCAATTTAAGGGGCGTCTCTATGAGGATTTTGACATCGAATCAAGTCGGTACGAGAGTGAATGGGAGTATGAAGAATATGTCCGGCTTGCTGAACCGGCATACGATGCCTTACAGGCCCTTATCGGTGGAAAGACGAATACCCCGGTGTTCGTCATCTCGCACGAGTTTATGGGAATGCCGTTTGCGTTCAAAACACTGATTGAGCGCAAGAGCAACGAAGATGCTGCGAATATGCGCACTGTCTTTTATGCCCATGAAGTGGCAACGATACGTCCGATTGTTGAGGGACATCCCGGACATGATATACGCTTTTACAACGTATTGGAGCAGGCGAAAGCACACGGACAATCGATCCGTGAGGTCTTCGACGATCCGTTTTGGTATTTCAAGCACGCGTTGATTGACAAAGCACATCTCTGTGATGCAATCTTCGCAGTTGGGGATCTCGTTGTAGATGAGCTGCGATTCTTGGCAAAGCCGTTTGAGGAGTTCCCAATTAACCTTGTTTACAACGGCATCCCGGCGTTTGAGGTGAGCCTACAGGAGAAATTAACGTCAAAGGCACTACTGCAAAAATACGCGAAGACACTTCTGGATTATCGTCCGGATTACGTCTTCACACATGTAACGCGGCTCGTCAAAAGTAAGGGATTGTGGCGCGATTTACAGGTGCTAATGCACTTGGATGACCTGCTCGCCTCTAATGATAAAACAGCCGTGTTGTTTATTCTCTCGACAGAAATTGCGACAGGTCGTCCCCACGAAAGTATTCATGAGATGGAGGAAACGTATGGCTGGCCCGTGTACCACAAAATCGGTTATCCCGACCTCGTTGGTGCAGAAATTGAACTGAACAATGGCGTTTCAGCCTTCAATCTGCAGTCTAAGGCGATTAAGGTCGTTTTCGTCAATCAGTTTGGGTGGAGTCAAGCCGCTTGCGGGAAACGGATGCCGATAGAAATGGAATTTATGGACATCCGCAAAGGGAGCGACGCGGAATTCGGGCAGTCCATTTATGAACCGTTCGGGATTGCGCAGGTAGAACCTCTGAGTTTCGGCGCGATTTGCGTCGTTAGCAATGTATGTGGGTGTTGCGGTTTCATTCAGCGTGCTACCGATAACCGTGATGTCCCAAATATCGTTATTGCGGACTATACGCAGCTGAATATCCCTCCAAAGTCGTTAGAAGATGTAATTCATATCGGGTTGGCGGAGCGGAATGCGATTGAAATGGAGAATAGCAGAGACATCGCAGCGAAACTCTTGGGACGCTTGCCTCGCAAACCTCGTGATGTAGAAGATATGCTTCGAGAAGGTTACGATATTGCTTCCCGCATGAGTTGGGAAGTCGTCGTTAAGGATTATTTTCTGCCTGGATTGAAAAGGGCACTTTAAGGAGGAAAAGTCAATGTCAAATCAAACCCGCTATGGGCACACCGGTGCCAATGACACCTGAACAAAAATTTTTCTTCGATCTCCGCGGCTGGATTTTGCTGCCATCGGTATTATCAGCACCGGAAATTGAAGAGATGAAAGCAGAGGTCTATGACGGTGCGAGACAGAGTTATCAAGGTACGCTCCAGACGCTACTCGACCATCCGGCAATCGTGGGCATCCTGAACGAGATTCTATCCGAAGATCCTTTTGTGTCAGACGACTGCTACGGGTTCCGATGTGAAGGGTCATTCACGACTGTCCGGGAACCCGGCTGGAACATATCGGAACGTGGCGATAACGGTCTACCGCACGTCGTGCGTCCACCCCAACAGGCAAACGCGATGCGGTATCAGGTCGCCGGTGGAAAGATTTTCGGTGGGCTGACGCGTGTCGTGTGGGAACTTGAGGAGGTCAAGTCAGGACAGGGTGCCACCTCTTTTCTCAGCGGTTCACACAAAGCACACTTCAATTACGGAGGTCCCGACCCGTATCGTCCGAATATTGGTGAATCGCCGTGGGAGATGAATATGCGCGAGGTGATGGACGACTACAGTTGTCCACCCGGTTCCGTCGTTATCTTCACCGAAAGTCTCGTCCATGCGGCTAATGATTGGACGAATCCATCAAACCCTCGGTGCGCTGTCTTCAATTGTTACAACTCGATCTGGGCACAGTGGCATCGACTCAACTTGAGCCATGAAGTCATTGAAACCATGCCACCGAGGCGGCAATCGTTATTCCGAGGCACATGGGCAATTGGCGGCGGTCCCGGTGGAAACCGTGAGTATTCGTTGGATAATAACACGACCTGATAATTGGACGCTAACGAGGCGCGGCTACAAACCGCGCCTACCGAGGAATACCCATAAAAATGCTAGAGTGTCTGGCTCTAGCAACCCAACATAGACATACCGTAGCGGCAGAGGTCACGGTTGGCTGTTCCTAGTTTTCCCAAGAGGAAAACACCGTCCTTATGGCATGTATTCGGGCAAAGGCGTTATCAGAGAATAGGGCTACATATCTTAATCTGCGGCTTCACCGCGATCCGATTCTGTGGACGTAGGCTTCTCAGCAGGCGGTTCTGAATCGGCGAATTTGTACTTGCCAGATTTCCGCAATTCTTTTCCTACCTCCTGATAGTAAGCGAGCAATCGGTTTAGGTCGTGCCCACATTTTTCTGAGATTTTGTAGCGCATTTCCCGAACTTCCTTAACGACTTCATTCATTTCTGGATTTAGAAGATCTTTGTTCTGGACCATTTTATGCAGTGCCTCCTAAATAATCAAGGGGTGTTGTCAATTTTGGGGTCATTAAGCCTAATTCTCGGTTAATCCGTGCAATAAAATCAAACTTTGTTAGGATTCGCAAGATGCGTACAATTCCACGTGAGCAGCGCGTCAACTTGATGAAATGAGGCAATTGCCAAATGATTGTCAAAACAAATACTACTGATGAATGTGACTTTTTTCACACTCTAACACCTGTGCACTTCGAGCAGGGACATACAGTTGAATGGATTGCGTATGTCCCTCCATGGCTACATCTTGCCACGGATAATGCCCACCCTCTACGGCACTATAGCCACTATAAGTGGTATCATCGGTATTGAGGATAAGGCGATAATCCTTTTTCTGAGGGACGGGGATGCGCCAATCTGTGACCGATGCAGTCGGATGGAAGTTGAAGGCGAAGATGAGTCCGCCCCGTTCATAGACGATCTGTTTCGCGTCCTCGTGAATAAATAAAAGATAGATGTTTTCATCAGAAAGCAGATGGTACATTGCGTCAAGGTGTTGTATCGCGCGATCAAAAGCGTTGAGATGTTTGTAGCGGAGGGTATCATCATCGACGAGGTGCCACTGTCTGCGCGCATACCAGTAGGAATTATTGTTCCCCGCGCGTGGAAAGTCAATCCACTCGGGGTGTCCAAATTCATTTCCCATGAAGTTGAGATACCCCTCGCCACCTAAACTAAAGGTCAGCAGTCGGATGAGTTTGTGGAGCGCAATGCCGCGAGCAATACGATGACTTGTTGTGAAAACACCCATGTTTGTGTAAAGCTCAACGTCCATGAGTTGCATAGCAAGTGTCTTGTCACCAACGATAGCTTGGTCGTGGCTTTCGGCGTAAGCGATATGTTTCTCACCCGTACGGCGGTTGCGCAACATGCCATAAATCTTGCCGATATGCCAGTCTTCATCCTGTTTTTCCTTCAACAACCGAATCCAATAATCCGGGATACCCATTGCGAGCCGGTAATCAAAGCCGAGTCCACCCTCCTCGGTAGGGCGCGCGATGCCGGGCATTCCACTCATATCTTCAGCAATTGAAATTGCGGCAGGGTTGATGGCGTGAACGACCTCGTTTGCTAACATCAGGTATGCAATAGCGTCACGTTCGACTTCTGCACCGAAATAATCCGCGTAGCCATCGAATTTCCGTCCTAAACCGTGGTCACTATAAAGCATGCTTGTGATACCATCAAATCTGAATCCATCAAATCGGTAGGTGTCCAACCAGTAGCGAATGTTGCTAAGGAGAAAGCGTTGCACTTCGTATTTGCTGTAATCAAAGCAAAGCGAATCCCATGCGATGTGGTCACCTTTCTCACCAGCATGGAAATAGTGGTGTGCCGTGCCATCAAAGCGATTCAGTCCTTCATTAAGGTTTTTGACAGCGTGGCTGTGTACCAGATCCATGATAACCAGTAGACCCATACTGTGTGCGGTATCAATAAGTGCTTTCAGTTCTTCCGGTGTCCCGAAACGACTTGAAACGGCGAAGAAATTGCTTACATGGTATCCGAAACTCGCATAATAGGGATGTTCCATTACCGCCATCAGTTGTACGGCGTTATAGCCTAAATCAGCAATTCGGGGTAGCACGTTTTGCGTAAACTCATCGAAGGTTCCGACCTTTTCCGCTTCCTGTGCCATACCAATGTGTGCCTCGTAGATTCGCAAGCCCTCGGTGCGGACATCAAAACGAGGCGCGCGATGTTTCCACTGATACGCGGACGGCGGTGCCCAATACTGTCCGGTGAAATCGGCATCACCTTCCTGAACAACGCGCTGGATATATGCTGGAATTCGGTCGAGTCCACCGAGTTCTGATACAACATGCACCTTGACCCGACTTTCGTGTGTGAGTCGATCGGCGTAGTCTCTGTCAGACAGGAAGAGATGCCATACGCCCCAGTCATCAATGGACATCGGATTTGCACCGCGATCCCAGCCATTAAAGTCGCCGATAAGGGCAAGGGTGTGTGCCCCCGGTGCCCATTCGCGATACCAGACCCCGGTCTCACCGGCATTTTCCCCGCGATTGAAACCGAAATATTGGTGTCCTTGGCTTATCTCGCCTAAGATGCCGCCGGTTTTCTCAATTTCTGCTTTGAAACGTTGATAGTGTGCGAACCGCTCACGCAGCTGCGCTCGGTATGGCTTTAGCAAGGGATCTGTCTTGATGAGAGCAGTGTCGTCAACCGTTTTTGACGTGAAATGTTGTTTTCCCATTTTTTAATTATTCCTTGCGGAGAAGTAACGTGGTTTGAAACTTAAAGGTTTCCGCGTTCAAGCCGTCCTCCACTTCGTTTCGGACTATGTTTTCGTTGCTATTCTTTAATTATACCTTGCGGAGAAGTAACGTGTTTTGAAACTTAAGGGTTTCCACATTCGAGCCGTCCTCCACTTCGTTTCGGACTAAGTTTTCGTTGCTATTTTAAAATCAGGATTTACGCGATTTTAACGGTAGCACGCTCTGTTAGATAGGGTTCTCGAAAAAACGCAGATGGTCTGCTGACACAAACTAAAAAATCAGATGCTCAAAAGAGTATCGTGCGTAAGTCCTATATTCCTTTAACTGCAAGGGACAATAAGAGTATTCTTCTTTTTTACAACCGCAGCCGCAGCCTGCAACACCGGCGCAGGCGACTCCTAAGGAACACAGGTCAAATCCCAAACCCCGGTCCTTTAACCGCAAGGGACAATTAAAAAATAGCACAAGACGGCTTGCAATGCAAGTCGGGTGTATGCTACTATGTGAGCATGCGAACTCCTTTCCACCCAACAACAATATATTTCATATTGATAGTACTGATGATATGGCACACTTCAGATGTTACAGCCGTTGAGGACCCGTTTGAAATTCAGGTGTTTGACGGTCAAGTAGAAGTGATGCAACCTTATAGGCTAATTTCTGGGAAACGCTATCGGCTTCAGGCAGTCTCGCTGGATAAAGAGGTGCTTACGGCACAGTGGTTTCTCGCAGGGAATTTAGGTAGAATTACAACAGGTAATCAACCAACGCTAACGACTGTTTTTGTAGGGGAGGGAGATCTTATTTGCCGTGTGAACGGGGTGGAACAGCGCGTAAGGTTAAGCGTCGTTCCAGCGACGGGCACCATCGGGAACCGTGGTGGAGCGCTCAAAAGTCCAGCGGGCGTGGAAATCACACTGCCTGAAAGTGCGCTCGCGATCGAACGACAAATTGGGATAGAAATCGTGGCATCACCCGGGTTACCGCCAACAGCCCGGCAGTTCATCCGTGTCATTCAGATCTCACCAGCGCGGCTTGTCTTGAAACGATCGACGCAGCTTACATTTCTCTTTGGAGGTGGTGAGTTTCCAGAGGCAAAGCCACAACTCTATTTTTGGGAGGCGTTTGGGAAACAGTGGATACCCTTGCGAAGTCGCGTGAACGCTATTCAAGGGAGTGTGACCGCCTCTATTAACCACTTCGGTATTTATACATTGATGGTGCTTACTCCTACAGATTTGGAACGCACCGATCGGCTACAGATCCAGAACGTCAAACTTTCGCCGCGTGTATTTTTCGCACCAGACAGGAATCGACTGACAATAGCGTATCAACTCAATGCCCCGGATGCGATGCAAGCGTTTGTAACAATGGATATCTTCGATCTCCGAGGTAAACGGGTTCGGCGACTTCTTGAGGACGCTCCTCACTACATCGGTCCTAACGTTGCGCAGTGGGATGGATTGACAGATGATGGTGTGCTTGTCCGCAACGGACGCTACTTCCTTGTGATTCGTGCAAGGATGGGTTCACAACGCACAGCACACCGGAAGTTAATCGTGGTCTTTAAATGAGAGTTTCTTTCTCAGTTATCACACCACGCTGTATCAATGTGATCGTCACCACATCACATACAAAGACACAATCAGCACTCCTTTGCATTTTTGGTTGTACACAAAAAAAGAGAACTCCGTTTGGTAAAGGTTCTGAATACCCTCATTATACCATAGGGAGTTCTCTTTTGGTTCCCACAGTGTTTTATTTTTATACCGGATTCATATTAATTTATTACGAGCCGAATGCCGGACGTGCATTCAATGCTCTAACATTTCTATTTGAAAACCCTGCGTCCGTTTTCTGAGATTACATCAGCTGTCTGACGCTTCCGATCGTGCGTATCTCTGAAGCGTTCGGATGTCAATATCTAACGATTCAGCTGCCTCACGAAGCGAGGCGTATTGCTCTACACGCTTTCGGGCGACTGCACTTAGAATCTCATGCTGGTTCATATCTCTTATGTTGAGAAACTCCCCTTTTTCGCTCATCCCGGATGGGCTTGAAACTGGCAAACCGCTCCAAGATGCCGAGGACTGCATCGAGAGTTCACGCATCATTGTGTGTTGTGTCTCCCGGTGAAGTGTTTCCCATATTGCGTTTTGTGTCTCCGGCGGAAGTGTCTGCCATATAGAGATAAGAGTTTTGATGAACTCTGGATAGATATCCGGGAAATCTTTGGGTTCAAGTCTGTCAGTTGTTGCGAGTGCGACAGCCGCTTGAATGGTGCTCCGCAACTGACGGATATTCCCGGGCCACGCCGCCTGCTCAAGACGAGTGAGTGCCTCTGGAGTCATCCCAGTGATACTCTTTCCGTATTCGGCACGGAACTCACTCATAAAGGTTGTGACTAAAGGCGCGATGTCCTCTGGACGCTCGCGTAGCGGTGGCAGGTGAAACATCATCCCCTTGAGACGGTAGTAGAGATCCTCTCGGAACTCCTTTTCCGCAACGGCTTTCTCAATGTCTCGGTTCGTTGCGGCGATGATATGGACATCCACTGTCAACTGTTCATTTCCACCGAGGCGTGTGAATGTAGCTGTATCCAGGACGCGGAGTAGCATTTTCTGTGCGTCCAAAGACATTTCTGGGACTTCATCGAGAAAGAGGATGCCCCTGTTTGCCATTTCAAACGCCCCGTGTCGCTGCCGGATTGCGCTCGTGAACGCTCCTGCTTCATGTCCGAAAAGTTCACTTTGCAAGAGTTCAGCGGAGAATCGTCCGCAGTTGATGGCAATGAAAGGTTTATCGCGTCGAGGACTGGTTTCATGAATATATCTTGCGATGCCTTCCTTACCGACACCGGTTTCGCCAGTAATGAAAAGCGGAATGTTTGATTGGACGACTTGCTGAGTTGTTTTATAAATTGTCTGCATCGGTGCCGATGGCAGTTGTATGAATGCTGACTGCCGGTTCATAATGTGCTCCTTAAGTATATTATTAAATTAGGACGAAGAATATAGTTAAGTTCGGGCAATTTTAGTCCCTAAAAGCGAATTGCGGCACAGTGCGTCATTACCATGTGCAATCCTTATTTGGCTCATAGGAAAAATAACTGCGACGGTCCAAAACCGGTTTTCCATAGCACATTGTGGTTTTTTTGAGTTAACGCCAGATTCAATTTTTTGGTTGACCTAATATCCGTGCCTCTGTGGGAAATACGAACACCAAGTGTTTTGGACGCGCATATATTGTCTGTATTAAAAGAAAACTTGTCCGCTATTTCCCAAGTTCACTTTAGTCGTCCGACTCCTTCCATTGTGCGTATTTCTGTAGTGTTCGGATGTCAATATCTAACGATTTGGCTGCCTCGCGGAGCGAGGAATATTCCTTAATGCGCTTCTGGGCAACTGCGCGTAGGATTTGATTCTGGTTCATATCTCTTATATTGAGAGGTTCCCCTTCTTCAACCATTTTTGGAATATGCAAGTTACGCCAAGATTCTGTCGTCTGCTTTGAGAATTCATGTATAATTGTATGTTGTGTTTCTAAGCGGAGTGTCTCCCATATTGCCTGCCGCGTTTCCAATGGGAGTGCTTGCCATATAGAGATGAGTGCCTGGGCAAGTGCTGGGTAGAGGTCCGAAAAATCTTTCGTTTCAAGTTTGTCGGTTGTTGTGAGCGCGACAGCCGCTTGAATGGTGCTTCTCAACTGACGGATGTTCCCGGGCCACGCCGCCTGCTCAAGACGAGTGAGTGCCTCTGGGGTAATTCCGGTGATACGCTTCCCATATTCGGCACTGAACTCACTCATAAAAGCTGCGACTAAAGGCGCGATGTCCTCTGGGCGCTCGCGTAGCGGTGGGAGATGAAACATCATCCCCTTGAGACGGTAGTAAAGATCCTCTCGGAACTCCTTTTCCGCAACGGCTTTCTCAATGTCTCGGTTCGTTGCGGCGATGATATGGACATCCACTGTCAACTGTTCATTTCCACCGAGACGCGTGAATGTGGCTGTATCCAGGACGCGGAGTAGCATTTTCTGTGCGTCCAAAGACATTTCTGGGACTTCATCGAGAAAGAGGATGCCCCTGTTTGCCATTTCAAACGCCCCGTGTCGCTGCCGGATTGCGCTCGTGAACGCTCCTGCTTCATGTCCGAAAAGTTCACTTTGCAAGAGTTCAGCGGAGAATCGTCCGCAGTTGATGGCAATGAAAGGTTGGTCGCGCCGAGGACTGCTTTCGTGAATGTATTTTGCGATGCCTTCCTTACCGACGCCGGTTTCGCCAGTAATGAAGAATGGAATATTTGATTGGACGACTTGCTGAATTGTTTTATAAATCGTCTGCATCGGTGCTGATGGCAATTGAATAAATGATGACTGTTGCATAGTGGTTCCTTTAAGCCTGAAGCGGTTGTTCTCAATCATTAAGCAAATTTCGTGCCAATGCTTTTGATAAAATGTGAGATGCTTTCGCTATAATTCCAAGCATATTATTCATCAGGATACCGCTACGAACACAGGTAGGTCGTAGGTTTGTCAAAGGGAACAGAGCTGTCCGCTTTTTCTTTGACAAACTACGTAGTTGAGTGGCTATGCGCCATTTAAGAGCCTTCTTTCATTATCGGGGCGCAAAAATTGTGAGATTCGGCACAGAAATTGTTTGGTTTTCGATTTTCTTCAAAAGATGTCATGTTATAGAGCAAGTAACACGAAATTTCCTATTAAAACCCTAATTGCCACTTAAAGCGGATTAACGCGGATTGAGTTGTTAGAAACCGTATCAAGATAATCCTGTTTTCCAATATAATCTATGGACTCTCATTGTCTCAGTATGAGTTAATAGCAATAAAGCAGGAAATGAATCACGATAAAGGCATTTTCGTCCAACCGAGTGCAGCAGCTTTTGCAGGATATGACACATTTTATGCATTACAAAATACTATTTTTGTGTGTTTTGGTGGGATCTTACGGTCTGGATAGAGGTAGACACTTCTGTGATTATGGATCGAGCACTTAGCGTGATCAGGAATACTTTGGTGATGAAGAGGCCGTGCGACATGTCTACGAGAATCGGTGTTTGCCTGCACAGGGTTACCATATACGTCGAGATTTACCGAAGCAAAGCGCGGACATCACTGCCACATTCGAGAAGGAGTTGTGGACTGTACACGCATCATTAGTGAAAGAGAATTGAGACAATCAGAAATAGACACGAAATGAAGAAAAGAGAAGGTTGGGATAACTGCCAAATTCCGATTGAAATTGAGTAGAATCGCCGTTCTTAGGTCGCTTTCCGACGCTGATGAAACCGCCGACAGAGAGATGAATATCCTCTGCAACGTTATATGCAATCTGTGGTGCGATCCAGGTTGATGGGTCGGATAGGTTGAATAGCATTTGTCCACTGAAACTAATCAGCGGTGTGAGTTGATGGGTAATTCCGGGGGCAAGATAGTGGGTGCCCAACAGGTAAACACCGCCACGGGTGTACGCCGGTTGCTCTAAATTGGTGAGGAAATTTTCAGGGTTCTTCGCACCCGCCCCATTGAAATGATACTCAATAAATGTGTAAGTCTCCCCGCCGAAACTATAGTCGAGACCGACAGAGGTCCGTAGGTAATTGTCCGCTGCATCAGGCAGATCATCAAACGGGGTGGTAAATACGTAAGCCGTTTCTAACCAGAATCCTGCACCACCGATACCGCGAGTTATATCCAAGCCGATAAGCAGATCTCTCTGAAACTCCATCAATAAAATTGAGAAGTCCGTCTCTACGGCATTCAATTGCGTTCGGAGAAAGACAGCACTCTTGCCAAAATTGAAATTGTTGCCGAAGATGTATCCGGTATCCACTTCTCCCATGACACCTATAGGTATTCGGACGCGAATTGCGTCAACCCCAACGCGGTCTTCCGTGTCGAGTTGATCGTAGGTATAGGGGGCGATGATGTCGGTTGGGTTTATGATTCGAGCACTCCCCCACGCAATTGCGTCTCGACCGATGGAGAAATCCGCGAAATCTGTGCTGAACTGAACCGAAGCCCGATCGAGGTTATGATAGATGCCGACACTGCCGACGGGTTCATCCGTTCTGGGGTAGAGCGGTGAGTCAAGATCCGCAACTCGGTAACGGGACGAAGCGGTACCAACGGCAATCGGAGACTGGGAAAAGAGTAAAGGGTCTTGAACCCGCGGCGCAAAGTCGTAGGCGAAGGCAAATGAAAGTGAATCTGCTGGCGCGTAAGAGAGGTTGAGACGCAGTCGGTTGACTACGACCCCTGTCACTGGTGCGTCTGGAAATGGTGAGTTGAATGCCGTGAAGAAATTTTTGTAGTAACCGCCGATTTTGAGTTCAGCAGTGGCGATTCCTACAAGTGACGTTGTCATCAAACAGGTGATGAGTGCCAGAATTTTTCTCAATTTTCTAATTTACCTTGCGGTTCGGTGAGGTGAGTTTGAACTTTCGGCATTTTTCCGTATATCCGCCCTCCACTTCGTTAAGGGCTACAGGTTTTGAATCTCGGTTAATCCTGGAGGAATAGCCCTCAGCAATCTGTTATCTCGCTGGATGCTGACAACTATTTTATCTCATCACTATCTATTTGTCCGTCGCGAAGCGTAATCAGACGCCTTGCACCCTCCATCACCATCGGATCGTGCGTTGAGAAGATGAACGTCATGCCGGTTTCCGCGTTAAGGCGACGCATCATCTCAAGCAGATCTGCACCCGTTTTCGAGTCGAGGTTCGCAGTCGGTTCATCGGCGAGGATGATCGTAGGTTCAGAGACCATCGCACGCGCGATAGCGACGCGCTGTTGTTGTCCACCTGAGAGTTGGGTGGGTTGTCGGTCCGCGACACCTTCTAACCCGACTGCCTTGAGCATTGCTATAACCCGCTCGTGCCGTTCTGCTTTCGGGACGCCCGCTAAGAGCATGATGTACTCAACATTTTCTTCGACCGACAGCACAGGAATCAGGTTGTAAGCCTGAAAGATGAACCCGATATTATCTCGTCGAAAGTCAGAAAGTTCGTTGCCACTCATCTCTGATAGCACTTTGCCGGCAAGCCACACTTTCCCTTCCGTAGGACTGTCCAACCCAGAGATGATGTTAAGAAAGGTTGTTTTGCCTGAACCAGAGGGACCCACCAGTGCCGTAAATTCTCCCGATTGGATGGTTAAATCGATTCCGTTAAGAGCGTTGACGGGGATTCCATCTGCTGCATAAACCTTTGTCACACCTTCTGTGACGATAACATCTGCTTTCTGCGTCTGTTCCATTTTTTAAAAACTCCGCCGCATCGCGTCTACGGGAGCCATTTTCGCTACATGCCGAGCAGGATACAGCCCGGCAATGATGGTGAAAACAAAAACCGATATAGGATAAATGATGAACTGTTGAACCTCCAGGACCGGGTAGATGAACTCCTGCATTGTCACACCCATCATTTCAATGCCGGTATAGTCAATGCCGGTATGGGCTAATAGTGCTGTCACAAGAAAACCGAGTACCGACCCCAGTCCAATACTCACGATCGCCAAGGCACCCGCCTCAAATAAGATAATGCGCGCCATCCCAAAAGGACGGGTTCCAACGGCGCGTAACACACCGAACTCAAACATCCGCTCATACAACGACATGAAAAGTGTATTGATAATCCCAAAAATAACCACCCCAAATAAGATAACGCCCATGATGTATTTACTGTATTTCGTCATTTCTAACACGACTGTCAGTTGTGACATCAGTTCTGTCCAGCTTAACGCTTCGTTACCGTGTTCGGAATATGTTTCCCAAAATGGCAGTGTCGAATCCTGAGTGTAGGCGATAGAAGTAAACTTGAGGGCGATTTCATGGACCCTATTCCCGATAGCAAGCATCTCTTGCGCTTTTTCAATCCGAACAAACGCCATTCCGCTGTTCATCTCTTCGCCAACAAAGCGATAAATACCGGACACCCGGAACATCTCTTGGGAGAGATCTCCGCTTTCGGCTTGCGCTACCGTCACGACCACCCGGTCCCCAAGTCCAATTTCTAAGATTTCGGCGAGTTTGGCACCAATGACGATATCGCGGCTATTATCCCCTTCAAAATAGACTCCGTCCGTTATCGCATCATCAATCAGGCTCAAGAATTTCTCTGTCGGTGAATGAACTCCGACGAGGTTAATCGCACTAACGCTTGCCGGAGACGTAATCATCCCAAAAGCGAGCGTCCTTTGTGTCCAATGCTCAACAATGTCTTCCTTAGCAAGATTCTCGGTCACCTTATCAAGTGCCTGAATTGTCAATGAGACCTCTTGTGTGTCTCGAAAACCTTCACGATGAATCTGGGCATCGCCAAGGAAGGAGGCGGTAGCCGTCCGAATCATCGTCTCTGCCATCCCTATCATGAAGGCATCAATAAAGATCAACGCAGTCAGACCGATACCGATCGCTATTGAGGCGATGAGTGTCCGCCGTTTATTCCGAAAGATATTTCTCCAAGCTAACTTTGCTAAAATCAGAAACATAGTTTTGAGTAGTTATGGTCTTCGGCTCTCAGTTCTCGGTTACAAGAAGGTTCTCTTAACTGACAACTGATAACTGACGGCCATTTAATGTGTTAATGTGTCCGCATCGCCTTCGCAGGCATGATTCGGGCGGCTTTTATCGCAGGAAACAGGCTGACGATCGTCGCTGACAGCATAACAGTGATAGCGGGAATAATCAGACATCGGGCATTGACTTCAGCGTACAGCGTTTTGATTTTCATGCCGCCGTAGGTAATTTCCTCGGGATACGTGATGCCGTATATGGATAGCAGATAATTGGCTAAAACCCCAAGGAGCGCGCCGACCGCGATGCTGCCAATAGCGATGATAACCACTTCGCAGATGACCAGCCAGAAAATTTGCGTCGGCTTCGTCCCGACTGCCTTCAGCACGCCGTATTCACGCGTCCGCTCCAGCACCGACATCAGCACCGTGTTAAGCACACCGATGGCTACAATGAGCATAATCACCCAGCGAGCAATGGCGTCTCCTTGTTGATCGACTTTCATGGCGCGGTAAAAGGATTTGGCGACCACTTGCCACGGTGCGACATCCAGCGTAGAATTATTCAAGCGCGTTTTGATGGTGTCTGTAATTTTACTCACGTGATTGATATTTGAAACAATCACAACAATTTCGTGGATGCGTCCCTCAAGCACAAACAATTCCTGAGCATCTTCGATGTGTAGATAACACGCCACTCGGTCTGTCCCGTCGTCACCACTCTCTGCGATTCCAATGATTTTATACACATCATTTGCGATTGAACCGTCGGCACCCTGCGAAAAAATCACAATTTCACTACCCACCGTCCCAGAAAGAATTTTCGCCAAACCTTTTCCAATAACAGCCTCATGCGAAGCGGTTTCCGCCAACACACTCCCTTCAATCATTTTTTGATCAAATCGGGTTGCTTGCGTCTCTCGTGCGACATCAACACCAATGACTTGTACAGCCGTGCTCTTTTCACCGACCGAGCCGAGTCCGGCTGCGTACACTCGCGGTGTCCACGCTTCGACTCCTGTGGTGCTCTGAATCGTCTCACCCACGGACGGGTAGTCATCGATTGTTTCGTATAGAGACGGTTTGTCAAGGTATCCCTCGCGATGCACCTGAATGTGTCCGATGCGGTTTCGCGTGAACATCGTGATAATGTTCCCATACGCACCATCGGACAAGCCGATGAATAGGGAGGAGAGCGTAAAGCCGGCAATCATTGCGAGAGCGGTAAGGATTGTCCGCCGTTTCTGGCGGAAGATGTTACGGAGTGCAATCTTAAGTATCATAAAGTCGTATGCATAGTCGTAGGCACACGCCGTGTGCCGTAACCCACGTGCCGTAACCTATCTCCTTTTCTGAAGGTTTCGGCGCGTGAAAATTTTATCGTCTATATCGGAATCGAATGTGGCGTTTAACCATCGAACAACCGTTTTGTGTCCGTCTTTGTTTTGGGGGATTATCTCCATTACAGAAGGTGCGATTTTGTCACCAAAGGTTTTGATCTCTTTGAAATTCATAACCCGCATCAAGTTTCCTTTTTCGTCATAGAAGTGCTGCCATACGGGTAGATAATCGCTGGATTGCACTGCGGCAACAATCTTTCCCCAAACGATCGGAGAGTCCTCTTTCGGTATGAGTTGAACGTAGAGATGGTCGGGAGATGCATCTTCAGGTGTAACGAACTGGTAAGTATAATCGTTGAGCATTGACGATTCCCTGACTAAGTCGTCATTCGTGAAATCGGAACCCATCCACGACCCCATCATCATTGATGGCGGAATCTTCATGACTTTGTTGGTCTTGGGCAGATAGTTCCACATTTCATTTCCGATGCGCAGTGTCGCGACCCCTTGTTCCTTCTTCGGTGCCGTAATCTGGATGAACGTCCTGTCCATCCCTTTTGACCAGATTGTCATCGCGAGGGTGCGTTCCCAATGCGGCGTGACGATGTGCATCTCCATTTCAGCGTGGCTTGTCTCGCTACGATAGAGCTGATCTATCTTTTTGATGATGGTTTCAATATCGGGAGTGGATTCTTGGGCTGATGCGAGCACGCAAAAGAGGAACATCAAGAGAAGAAAGGCATGTATCATCAAGTTTTGTGCTGCTACCTGTATCTTATTTTGAGGTGTCGTCATTTCCTTGGTTATCCTTTCCACTTTTGGAAATCTGAAAGTTTCATCTTATGTTTCTATTATAAAACAAATTGTCTTAAAGCGCAACCTTTTTCAGATTAGCCGTAAGAGGATCTCCGAATCCCGACCCTCCTCTGTAGGAGCGACCTCCCGGTCGCGATACTGTTCCAAAATTGACCAAGCCGAAAATAGATCTCCCTAATATTCGGTTGATATTTGCTGCCGGATGTGTTATCATTACCCTTAAGTAAATCGCATTGCTGAGGGAAGAAAGTCGTGAACAAACCTTTAAAGGTATTCATTACATACTCGCATAAGAACACGAAAGCAAAGGACCAATTGATAACACGCCTTAGACCCTTGAAACGTGAGGGCATAATAGACATTTGGCATGACAACGAAATTCTGCCGGGTGACAAGTGGCGCGATGCTATTTTCAATAACCTTGCTGATTCTGATCTTCTCCTCTATCTTGTTTCTGCCAATAGCCTTGAATCTAAAAACTGTAACAAAGAATTGGCAGCAGCATTAACGGCGGAAAAGAAAGTTATCCCGATTATTCTTGAACATTGTAATTGGAAAAATCATAAGTTAGAAAATCCTCAGGATCTATCTGCCGAAGGTTTGTATCTTAACGAATCAGAATCCCAGATACTTGGAGAAATTCAAGTTCTTCCTGCTAGAGGGAAACCTCTTAATGAATGGAATCCGAGAAGCAAAGGTTGGGAAAGTGTACTCGAAGGCATCCGGGAAGTCATTGACAAAATGCAATCTAAGAAGGCCCCGTCGTCCGAGACATCTGAAAAAGAACTACGTGCTGAATCAATGTTCCAACATGGGAATTTTCTGATGATGCTCGGGCAATTAGACATGGCGATTGAAATTTATTCACAGGCAATTGACCACAGTCCTCGCGTTGCAAGTTTCTATAATAATCGCGGTGTTGCTTATGACGAAATAAATAAAAATAACTACGCCATCAAAGACTATAACACCGCAATACAACTCAAACCTGATTACGCCGATGCTTATTATAATCGCGGTTTAACTTACGATCTTAAAGGTGAAATTGATCTTGCCATCAAAGACTATAACACCGCAATACAACTCAAACCTGATTATCCCAATAGTTATTACAATCGCGGGGTAGCTTACGGCAACAAAGGCGAAACTGATCTTGCCATCAAAGACTATAACACCGCAATACAACTCAAACCTGATTATGTCAGTGCCTATAATAATCGCGGTGTATTGCACCGCAACAAAGGCGAGATTAATCGTGCCATTAAAGACTACAACATCGCAATACAACTTAAATCTGATTATACCGATGCTTATTATAATCGCGGTATAGCTTATGATAAAAAAGGCGATGTTGACCAGGCAATCAAAAACTTCACCAGAGCGATAGAACTGAATTCCAACTATACCGGTGCTTATCTTAATCTCGGCACGGTCTACGACAAAAAAGGTGAAGTTGATAGTGCTATTGAAAACTATAAGAAAGCAATAGAATTGGATCCCAATTATTTTGAGGCGTATCTCAATCTTGGAGTGGCTTATGACAGCAAAGGTGAAGTTGATAGTGCTATTGAAAATTATAACACCGCAATACAACTGAAGACAGATGATCCCCGTATTTATAACAACCGTGGGGTAGCTTACCTTCATAAAGGCGCAGTGAAACAGTCCATTGAAAACTATGACAAAGCGATAGAATTAGATCCTAATTATGCCTTGGCATATCACAACCGTGGTGAGGCTTATAGCGAAAAAGGGGAGTTTAATCTTGCCATAAAAGACTATAATACGGCAATAGGATTGAATCTTCAACTTGCTTTGGTTTACTATAATCGGGGAGAAACATGGTTACACTTAAGAGAATGGGAAAAAGCCAAAGTTGACCTGACAACTGCCAAAGATAAAGGGTTAGATATCATTGCTTCATTTCGCAACCATTACAGAAACGTTGAGGCTTATGAGCAGCGACATCATGTAAAGTTACCGGAAGACATCGCACTCTTACTGACACAGCGTCGGCGGACCCGTTTCCGTAAGACGCGAAGAGTATTGGATGCCGATGGCAATCTCCTTGAATCACCAATTGTAGTGAATTTACGCGAGCAGCTTCGTAAAATCGGTAGACCGTTAGGCGAGTACATCAAAGCAAAACCCTCTTTCGGTATTAACACAGTACCGACTGAGGTGTTCGTCGTAGACGAAGCAACACGGGACAAACTCATTGCCGCTCACCCTTCATCCGCTGATATTTTGAAGCCGTTTTTGCACGGACAAGATTTAAGGCGTTGGCATGTTGACACGCCACACCAGTGGCTCATCTTTACGCACCGCGGTATTGCGATAAATGACTATCCAGCAATCCTGCAGCACTTGGAAAAACACCGAGAATCTCTGAGCAAGCGAAAAGGCAAGCAGGAATGGTATGAGCTGCCAGCATCTCTTGGCAATGCGGAGCGTTTTGCACAACCGAAACTGGTCTGCCCGGACACCTATAACCATCAAACTTTCGCTGTTGATACAGCCGGTTATTATTACGGAAATACGTCCTACCTTATCCCAACTGAGGAAACGTGGCTCTGTGGTCTCCTCAATTCCCGGACTGTGGAATGGTTTTATTCGCAGGTATCGAACCAATTGACGATCGATCCTCTTCGGGCGCGTAGTGGGTATATCCAACAGATTCCGATTCCCGACCTCACGTCAATACAGAAGGCACTGATCGCCAAAATCGTTGATTACCTGATCTATCTCCAGCAGCAGCCAACAATAAACAGCAAAGATTTGGCACACGCCCGGGACCACATAATGCTCGGATATTTTGAACGAATCATTGATGGCTTAGTTTATGAGGTTTACCTGCCTGAAGATCTTCACAAAGGAGATAAGCACTTCTTCCAACCGTTGTTGGAGGAACAGTTGCCTTCGTATGAGGAAATTCAGGGTGATAAAATGATTGTGTTACGAGACATCTTTGAGCTGCTATATGAGAGAACACATCTTGTCCGGCGCAACCTTTACTATCTGGATAGTGTAAAAGCGGTTCGTATTATTGAGGGTAAAATTTGAAAATAACTAACGTTAGCGTAGGTTTAAACTATTGAAAAGATACGGGTTCTGGGAAAAATGACAAAAGAACTCAATCAAGAGTGTGCCAAGACATATTACAATCGCGGGTTGGCTCACAGCAGAAATGGTGAACTTGAACTTGCCATTGCAGACTATACTAAAGCGATAGAACTCAATCCTGGTTATGCCGAAGCCTATTACAATCGCGGTGGAACATGGTTACGCCTCGGAAAACGGGAAAAAGCTAAATCAGATCTGGTAACTGCCAGAAATCTGGGGAGCGATACCATCACCGCCTTAGATAAGATACTACGAGACTACGATCGCGCATGGAGAACCCTCGGCAACATTTGAGATATTTGACAATTGAGGGTGTTCTGACAGTTCGCCTTTAAGGCAATCTCCGTGTTACCACATACCATCCGTAAGAGCGACCTTTCTGTCGCTACTCCCTTCCAGAATCGATAAAAAAACCGTCGGAAAAGATCGGGGTTAGAAACCCCTCCTACAGGTCTTACTTGGTGTGCTTTGTAAGCGTGCCTACCTTGGACCGGGAAAACTGCTGAAGTGTCGCGGCCATGTGGTCGCTCCTACAGGGATGTGTGTTTTTGCTTGGGTGTTTCCCCAGGAATCGGAGTTCCCTCCTACAAGAGAACTGAATGACTCTGAAACCTCAAAAAGTGACTTGACAAAATTCTATCTAAAATGATAAACTGACTTCAAACAAGGGAATCCGAAAACTACACCCTTAGTTCCTAAAGATAAAGAAAGGATGGCAACATGGCATCACAAAATGAACTAAAGTCAATGCTAAACGCACCTGTCGGCTTAGCACCAAATACCTACCTACATTTTTATAACGGTGGAAAGCTTCGCGCCGAGTTTATGGGCGAACCCGATCCGAAAGATGATTACTACTCTGAAGAATGGATCTTTTCTACAAATCGGGCAGTCACTCCCGGCAGAGACAATCCGCCGGACAAAGGACTCAGCCGCATCCAACTCCCAAGCGGCGAGATCGTCCTGCTAAAAGCACTGCTGGACACATTTCCGGAAGAAACACTCGGTAACGCCCACGTCGCCAAATACGGCACTGAATTAGGCGTACTTCTCAAGATTTTTGATGTCGGTGAAGGCGCACATATCCCTATCCATTGGCATCCAAACCCCGATTTCGCGCAGAAACACCTCAATTCTCCCTTCGGCAAGAATGAGGCGTGGATCCTCATCGGCACACGTCCGGGCGCGAAGGCATGGATAGGTTGGAAGGAAGCGATAGACAAAGCGGAGTTCCGTCGCCTGATGGAAGCGCAAGATGTGCCGACACTACGCAGTCTTATGCACGTTGTTGAACCGAAGGTTGGGGAAGTCTATTTTTTACGCACTCCGATTGTTCATTCGCTGGGTACAGGACTCTGTGTTCTTGAACCACAAGAACCGACCGACTGGAACATCCTCGCTGAATGGGAAGGTTTTCCGTTTGAAAGAGAAGATGGACACCTCGGTCTCGGATGGGATCTCGCTGTAGATGCCGCTGAGTTTGATAAATTGGAGCTGGATTATCTCAACAATTACATCCGACGCACGCCAGAACTCGTCCGGGCAGAACGGGATAACCGAGAAGATCGAATCGTGCCAGAGGAAGCCTCGAAATTCTTTGGATGCTCACGTCTAACAGTGAATTCGACGCTAAGTATGCCAGCAGACAAAGGTTTTTATGCGCTCGTGGCTTTGGGCGGCGAAGGCGTGCTACGTGGAGATTTTGAAGATGTTCCGCTCAAACGCGGCAAATCCGTCTTTATCCCACGATGCTTGTCCAGTTACGTCATCGTTAGCACTGGCGATACACCCATGGAAATCATCTGTTGCTATCCGCCGAGTCTCTTCTAATTTACCTTGCGGATTTCTAATTTTTCCTTGCGGGTAAGTCATAGCATCCGTAAATTTAACGGCTTGCGTGTTAGAGTCGCCCTCCACTTCGTTACGGGCTTGGGTTTTGATGTTATACCGCACGTATCCTTATTTCAGTTGCGACTTCATCAGAAACCTGCGCGTAAGCGGAGCGGAGCGCAGGGCGAAAACCTAACAATTAAAAAAATGAAATGGAGAGCGGTCCAGGCGGTCCATAATTAAAAAATGTTAGATTTTAAACCCCCGAAACCGAATACGACCGCGATTCGAGTTGCGCAATCTCTCATACCGCTTATTAATCGCTTGTGTTTGAAAGGGTTAACGTTGGATATCGATCCAGAATCTATTGACCGTCTAAAAACAACGGATGGATATCCTACCGTATTAGTCCCAAATCATGCGGCACGCGCGGATCCTGCGGTCATGTTTTTCTTGTCCAAGCAGCTCTCTCAGCAGTACTACTATATGACTGCACGGGATACCTATGGCAAAGGGAGATTCGGTGGCTTACGCGGTTTTCTGATGCAACGGTTCGGGGCGTATTCCATCGTGCGTGGCACCGCGGACCGGAACGCATTCCGCACAACGCGGGAACTCCTGTCAAAAGGCAACTCGTCCCTTGTTATCTTCGCTGAAGGGGAAATTTCACGGCAGAATGATACTGTCATGCGCTTTGAAAGGGGCATTGTTCAGCTCTGTTTCTGGGCTCTGGACGATATGGCGAAAGCGGGTGTCGACAAACCGCTGTATGTGGTTCCGATCGGAATCAAATACCATTATCTACAGAACATGTGGGACGACATTGATGCCGCTCTCGCGGAATTGGAGCGGAACATTCTCCCACCTGCGGATCGAACGCCGATTGAACGCTACGAACGGTTACGGCGTATCGGTGTCACGATATTCAAAACGCTTGCAACTGAATATCAGTATAAAGTGGACGAGGCCGTGCCACTTGATGTGCACATCCAAAGACTGAAAGAGCAAATCTTGTCCCATGCTGAAAAAATCATGGGCATCCACTCTAAAGCCGATGTTCTCACAAGGGTACGGACGTTGAAAAATTTAGTCGATGCCGAAGTCTATAAAGACATTGAGCAGATGACGGAGTACGAACGGAAGATACATGAAGAACTGCTCCAGAAATTCCAACGATTCTATCCCGACTTGGAGCGGTTAATTAATTTTATAGCGATTTCAGATGGATATGTCGCAGAAGAACGCTCACCAGAGCGGTTTCTTGAAGTGATTGTTCGTCTGGAGAGAGAAGTCTTTGGTACGTCAAAAATGCGGGGACCGCGGGTCGCATCCGTCCGTGTTGGTGAACCCAAAAATCTCCGAGAATGCTACGATACCTACAAGGCACAGAAAAGAGAAACGGTGGAGCAGATAACCCTTGAACTTGAAACAGTCGTTCAGACCTTGGTCACGGGTGTATCCTAATTACGCGATAGCACAAAACCCGTAGCCCGTAATGAAATGGAGGGCGACTCCAGAGAGTAGCACGTCAAAGTTCTAACCTGCGTCGTTACTCCGCAAGGTAAAATTAAAGCCGTTTGAACGTTGGTCACGGGTGTATCCTAATTACGCGATAGCACAAAACCCGTAGCCCGTAATGAAATGGAGGGCGACTCCAGAGAGTAGCACGTCAAAGTTCTAACCTGCGTCGTTACTCCGCAAGGTAAAATTAAAAAGGAGAAAAACATGGCAAAAAAATTGTCGATTGGAAGTTGGGCTTACACATTTGGTCCCTATGAAGACAATCCTGTTCCATTTGACACCGTTGTCAAGCGTCTCAGCGAACTTGAATTTGATGGTGTTGAAATTGGGGCGTTTAAACCGCATATTGACATTAACGACTATCCACTGAAAAGCGAGCGAGATGCCGTCAAAAAATTGATCTCCGATCACGGTTTGGAAGTCTCTGGATTAGCCGCTGATTTCTGGTCGCACCCCGGTCCGGCTACGGATGAGGCGCAAGAGGACGATAGATACTACAAGTTGTTCAAAGAGAGTCTCCAACTCGCCCTTGATCTCGGATCGCCTGCCATTCGGGTGGACACTGTTACCGATGCTGAAGAAGAAATTCCGGGCGTTGATCGGGAGCAAGCGTGGGATCGAATTGTCTCTGTCTGGAGACGCTGTGCGCAAGTCGCTGAAGACCACGGTGTGCTGATGCTCTGGGAATTTGAACCCGGATTCATGTTTAACAAACCGAGCGACATTGTTAATATGCCAAAAGCCGTAGATCATCCGAATTTCCAAGTGATGTTTGATACATGCCACGCGCACATGTGTGCTGTCGTCGGTTCTCGGCAGGTTGGTGAACAGGAAACACTCGGTGCTAATGGTGTAATTGATCTCGCACGGCAACTCAAAGGGCAAATTGGACACTTCCACCTCATTGATTCCGACAATACACTCCACGACGACCATACTAGTACACACGCGCCTTTCGGAGATGGTGTTCTGGACTTCGACGCGATTATTCCAGTCATCATGGACGAGACTGGGTACGACGGTGATTGGTTTTCCATTGATCTCTGTTTCTGGCCCAACGCGTGGGATGTCACGGAAGACGCAAAGAAATTCCTGACCCCGTATTTGGAAAGGTATTAAGGGCTACCTTATGGCTATCAGCCGTCGGTAAAGAGGTTTCCGATAAATCTACATCCTCTTGCTGATTGCTGACTGCCGACTGCCAATCGTACATATCCTTATTTCCGTCAGGAGAAAGAAAATGAAAATGTTTATATTTTCATTTTCTTGTCCTCTGCATGGAACCAAGTGGAACGATGCGTAAAAACCCAATTATTAGAAAAAAACATGCTTAATCTGCGTTCATTAGATCCCCTAATTGACTTGGCGTTTGAAGAAGATATCGGTATCGGTGATATAACAACAGAAGCAACAGTGCCATCCACACAGGAGGGTGTAGGAACCCTGCTTGCCAAGAGTGGTGGTATTGTTGCAGGACTGCCGGTCGCTGAACGAGTCTTCGCAAAATTAGATGAGAAATTGTCGTTTCGTGCGCTTGTCACTGATGGGGACGCTGTGAAGGCGGGAACGCCGATTGCCGAGGTACAAGGGAGTGCCAAAACCATTCTGATCGGTGAACGGACGGCTCTTAATTTCCTGCAACGGCTCTCTGGGATAGCAACACTCACAGCCCAATTTGTAGCGGCAGTCGCCGACTATGATACCAAAATAGTAGATACCCGGAAAACTGCAGCGGGATGGCGGGCGGTTCAAAAATATGCTGTGCGCGTTGGAGGTGGTTACAACCATCGCTTTGGGCTTTACGATGGCGTTCTCATTAAGGATAACCATATCGTCGCCGCTGGGGGTATCGAGAACGCTGTGCAGCGCGCACGAGAGGTTGTTCCACACACCGCAAAGATTGAGATCGAGATCGAAACTCTCGATCAGGTTGATGAAGCATTGGAGGCAGGAGCAGACATCTTACTCCTTGACAATATGCCTCCTGCCACTATGAAGGGTATTGTTCAAGAGGTGGGTGATCTTGCAGTGACAGAAGCGTCCGGGGGGATTACACTGGACAAGGTTAAAACTGTCGCTGCTACTGGCGTAAATCTCATCTCCGTCGGGGCATTGACGCATTCAGCGATGCCGATGGATATTAGTCTGACGCTAACGCTTGTTACCGACTAGGGAACATCAATCCCCAACGAAGGAGATTTCGCTGGTAATGCAGGAATTCTTGAGCCGCGAAAACGTGGCTCGCGGTACGCTTTTCTTTCTGCTGTGTACATTCGCCGGGTTATTCCTAAGTTTTCTGTGGGGTGATACTCAAAATATAAAGCAAGTTTTTCGCGAGATACAGGTTGAGTTGTTACTGGGCGCGTGTCTGTGTATGTTCGCGGATTGGGTGTTCGGCGCACTCCGCTTCCATATTTTTGTTCAAAAGTCAAACCAGACATCAGGTTCTGGGACAGTCTTCGGGCAAACTTAGCGACGCTCTGTGTTTCCTGTATTACACCGTTCCAGACAGGCGGAGTGGGACATCTCTATATCTACGCGCGAGCAGGCGTACCGTTGTCAGGATTAATAACATCAAGCATCATTTGTTTTCTCTCCACTCTAACCACGCTCTTTTTCTTCGCCGTTGGTATCGCATGGTTAGATCCCCCTTTTTTACCGAAAGGGGCTACGTGGGTGAGCCTATTTAGTTGTTTGGCGTTCGGCTTGGTATTTATAGGATTTCTGTTACTGCTTTTCAAGCCGGAGCTTGTTTTTCGTTTTTTTCATTGGCTCTGCAATGTTGCGCAGCGAAGGTTTACGCGCCTCACTCCTATTCTCGAGCGTGCTACTTTGAAAGTGGAAGAATTCGTTGTTGAACATAAATCGTTTGCGGTAATGTTCTTGCGTTCCCATAAATGGACGTGCGCATTCAGTGTACTCTTAACCTGCGGTTTCTTCGGAGCACGGATCATTGGCAGTTACATAGTCGTGAAAGCACTCAACGGGGATACTACCCTATGGGAACTCAGCGTTGTTGGGTTGCTGCTAAATTTCGTCGTACTCTTCGCACCAAGCCCTGGGGCAAGTGGGGTTGCCGAGGTTGTAACCGTCGGGTTGATGGAAAATGTGATTCTCAAAGAATTGATACCTCTCTATGTGTTGCTGACGCGATTTTTCGCTATTTATTGTGCTGTTGTTGTTGGCGGTATTGTTATTAGTTTGCAATTGGCAAAGGATTTTAGAAAGCACAAAAGGGCATAGCGAAAGACATTGGAATAGCCGTCAGCCATTTGGTTTCCGATAGTAGGGTATCCGTTGTGGTTGCTCCGCCGACTACCAGCTGCCAATTGTACATGTCCTCATTTCCGTCAAGATTCACCAAACACCCGTCAGGAGACAGAAATGAAAATGTAAACATTTTCATTTTCTTCCGCCTGTGTGGAACGATGCGCAAAAACCCAATTATTAGAAAAAAGTTCAAAGGAGTGTCCGTTGTCTATTCCTTAACCGGACTTTAAGCCTTTTATCACCTTCGAGGTGACCATCATATTTGTCAGAAAGTCAGAAACCGATTTTGACAACGGAAAGATCGGCGCAAAAACTCAATCATTAAAAAGAAGGAAAATTATGGCGACCACATTTGAGAAAATTGAACCCGCAACAACCAAACTGGGTTGGGATTGGTACCGGCGTAATGGGACGGTGGATGTGTCAACATCTGATGGACCTGGGATATGGGATGACAGTCTACAATCGAACGAAGTCAAAAGCTGACCCGTTACTGGAAGCAGGTGCTGCATGGGCAGATTCGTCGGGTGAAGTTGCAGCTACCTCCGATATTGTTTTCACGATTGTCGGATTTCCACCCGATGTCCGTGAAGTCTACCTCGGTGACAGCGGTATCTTAAAGGGAGCGAAACCCGAAAGCATCATTGTTGACATGACGACGACAGAACCCTCTCTTGCACAAGAAATCTACGCTGCAGCGCAGGCACAGGATGTTTCATCAATCGATGCGCCTGTTTCAGGCGGCGATGTTGGTGCCCGAGAGGCGCGCCTTTCCATCATGGTCGGAGGCGACGAGGCTGCTGTCCAAGCCGTTATGCCACTCTTCTCGGCGATGGGGAAAAACATCGTCCATCAAGGTGGCGCGGGTGCCGGACAACACACCAAAATGTGCAATCAGATCACGATTTCAGGAACAATGATCGGGGTCTGCGAAGGGTTAATCTATGGCTACAGAGCTGGACTGGATTTAGAGACGATGCTGTCATCGATTAGTGGGGGTGCAGCGGCTTGCTGGTCTCTCGACAATTTAGCACCACGGCTTCTCCAGCGGAACTTTGATCCTGGCTTCTTTGTGGAGCATTTTATCAAAGATATGAGCATCGCTTTAGACGAGGCACGCAAGATGAACTGAGTCTGCCCGGACTCGCGTTAGTGCATCAGCTTTACACGGCAGTGCAGGCACAGGGGCATGGTAGGTTAGGTACCCAAGCCCTGATGCTGGCATTGGAGCAGATGTCTGGTGTGGAAGTCAGTTAAAGGTTAGTTCATTGTAATAATGCCCTCGCTGGTGTGGTCTGAAACCGCACCAGCGAAGCACAGGTGTAGTGGACAACTTCCAATCTTCTTATGCTGAAGCGGGGTCCAAGCGCATGGGCATTATGAGCGAAACATAGTTATCATCGCCTACCGGTCTAACAAGAACGGGGTTCAACTCCCCTGAAAATTCCAGGGACAGCGACTCCGTTTCAATGTGAGACAATGCCTCTATCAATAACCGAGCGTCAAAACCGATTCTGGCACTTCCAGTGCTGGATTCCACAGGCAGTGTCTCATGCGCTTCCCCTAATTCCGGGGTCTTCGCGGAGACTTGAACTTGTTCTGAATCAATTTCTAAGCAGATCGAATAGTTCTTCGGATTCGACAGCAGTGAAACCCGCCTCGTGGCACTTAAAATTCCTTCTTTTGAAACAACTGCTCTGCCTTCGGTCGATTCGGGAATGATTTTCTCATATTTCGGATAATCACCTTCCACAAGTCGCGTCGTTAAGGTAGCATTTCCATCGGTAAAGAGGATTTGGTTTTCAAAAACTGAAATGCTTATCTCACCAGCATCGGCGAAGGTTCGCGCGATTTCGCGAACGGCTTTCAACGGAACAATGAATCCGTTGGCCTCTCCCGGCGCTGTGAGCGGCTCACAGCGTGCCAGGCAAGACGTTTACCATCAGTGGCAACGACCTCAGTCCCCTGCTCAAGAAAATTGAAGTAGAGTCCATTTAGAAAGTAACGAACTTCCTCTGTAGATGCAGCGAACTCGGTTTTCTGAAGGACACCGCGCAATGTCTCTCCACCAATCTTCAATGCTTCCCCTTCAACTGAGGGGAGTTGTGGGAATTCTTCATCGGGTAGCCCGATGATTTTGTAGACACCCATCTCCACAGGTGATCTCAACGCGGTCGTTTGCTGTCGTTGCTAAGTGTACCGGTTTATCCGCAGGCAGCTCCTTGACAATATCCACTAACTTCTTAGCGGAGACGGTGATTGCCCCCTCCTCTGTAATGGTCCCTTCAACCTTCATTCTAATGCCGACTTCCAGATCCGTTGCCATGCACTCAATAGTGCCCCCGGTGGCATTGATGAGGACATTTGAGAGAATTGGTAAGGTAGTGCGTCTACTTGCGACCCCTTGCAGTATCTGTAAGGAGTCCAAGAGATCATCCCTTTCAAAAGTTAATTCCATTCTAAGATCTCCTTCCTAAGTTATCGAATGAAAACACACGTAAAAATCAATAGTTTTCTTTAGTTATGCTGTAGATGTGGTCCCCCTTTAAATTTGGGGATAATCCCAGCCCTAATTTTTTCTTTATATTAAATAGAATTGTGATGGCATCAGTAGTGAAACAGGGAAATGTGTCGGAGAAAGCATACCTGTCTCACGAATATTACAAAGGACATTCACCGAATTTGATATGAAAGAAAAACCTTGACATACTCCTATATTCAGTATAACATATTTAGCGGATATAACAAAGGAAAATTTTGCTTAAACACGGGCTCGCACGTGCGCTTTTCGATAGAGCCGATGCACTCTACAATGCCCTGTCCACTCTACAGCTCAAGTTCTCCTAACCAAGATATACATTAGAGCGATTTAGTTTCGAGGCGTCACGGTCGAAAGATCGAGGCGAGAAGAAAATCAAATCGCTGTCGTTCTTCTCCTAAGAATATGCGCACTACAGACTTGCATTCCTCGCAGACAATCGCGAGACGGGCAGTGCTGATTGGTACTGTCTTGATTATCGCGAATAGTTACTGGATAGCCTATGTCGAAATGATTTGGCATACCGCGCATCTTACAACAGTCGCGATGTCGGTCAATGTCATGTTCGGCATTTTAGCGATGACGTTTCTGAACATGATCGTGCGGCGTATCTTTCCACGCGTCGCCCTGCAGCCGCGGGATCTACTTGTCGTTTATAGTATGCTCGCTGTAGGCAGTGCTTTTTCAGGGCATGATTGTATCCCACGCTTAATGGGACTCATCCCGTACGCTTTTCGCTTCGCCACCCCCGAAAATGATTGGGAGGCACTGCTCTTTCATCACCTTCCCGAATGGCTTGTGGTGAAGGACCCGAAAGCGGTCAACGATTTCTATGAAGGCGGGGTCAACTTTTTTACGGAGGGTTATTTTCAGTATTGGATCGTGCCGATTCTTTCTTGGTCGTTGGTTATTTTCCTGTTAATGCTAATCTTTTTATGTTTAACCTCCATTGTTCGCAAGCAGTGGATAGAAAATGAGAAACTCGCGTATCCGATTATTCAGATTCCGCTTGAAATTACCACCAACCGGCGTATCTTCACAAATCGCTTGCTCTGGCTCGGTTTTTCGATAGCCATGGGCATCAACCTGCTTAACGGGTTGCAGTTCTTCTATCCTGTTCTCCCTGAAATTCCCGTTCGGAAATACAACCTCAACATCTACTTCACGCAGAAACCGTGGAGTGCAATGGGTAGCACGCCACTCAGGTTTCATCCATACATAATAGGCTTCTCGTTTATTTTGCCTTTGGATTTAGCATTTTCATGTACCTTTTTCTATGTGCTGAAGAAAGTACAGTTGCTATTTGGAAGTGCTGTGGGCGTTTCATCATTGCCGGGTTATCCATTTTTAGGTGAACAAGGTGCCGGGGCATTACTCGCACTGCTCGCGATTGCCTGTTGGCATGGGCGAAAACATTTTGCATCTGTGTTGTCACAGGTAATCCGACCCGATCGAGATGCGTCCCGAACAGAGGCACTCTCGCCTCGTGCTGCCGTTGTTACGTTAGGTATATGTCTGCTTTTATTAGCGGTTTTTTGTGTCCGTAGCGGGATGACGCTATGGGCATTTGCAATTTTTATCGGGGTGTATCTACTGATTGTCGTGGGTTTAACCCGGATGCGCGCGGAATTAGGACCACCGATCCATGCTATCGGTTATTTAACACCGCAATATATGATAATTTCACTACTTGGCACGCGACGTTTGCGGGCAGGCAACCTAACAATGCTCTCGTTGATGAATTGGTTGAGCGGTGCAAGTTATGCTTCTTTCCGTACGCATCCGATGCCGGACCAACTTGAGGCTTTTAAACTTGCTGAACGGACCGGCATCCGAAACCGAACGATGTTCGGCGTATTGGTCATCGCGAGTCTTGTCGGTATCTTATCAAGTCTGATTCTCTATCCGTATGCGATTTACAGTGAGGGCGTGGCTGCAGGTTCGGAGCAAATTCATGCGGGTGGCGCGGATACATACAATTTTCTTTCTTCGTGGTTAATGAATCCGAAGCCGACAGATTGGCTGGCGACCTCGGTGCTCGGATTCGCCTTCGCTGTGAATTTAGGTATCATCTTTCTGCGTTCACGTTTTGTGTGGTGTCCGTTGCATCCAGCGGGATATGTTATCGGCGTTGCGCCAGGGACGACGGATGTCATCTGGTTTTCGCTGTTTCTGGCGATGGTAGCAAAATGGATTATCTTGCGGCACGGTGGTATCAACGCATATCGAAAAGCGGTACCGTTCTTCATCGGGTTAGTGTTAGGTGAAGCGTTGATGGGATGTTTTTGGCCGCTGTTAAGTCTTGTGTTGAGATCAGCGGTGTATAGTTGGATTTGAGGTTTTTTGTGTCTGAATCATCGCGTGTTTAGTACCAACTTTTTCTTGACATTCGGCGAATTCTATGCTATTATTTTAATATACAATTTTATTTTTTGAGGTCTGTTGAGAGGTTCATATACCTCAACTTTCCCTTAGAAAAAAACAGAAACCAACTTTATTAAAGGAAACCGTTTTTTCGACAATGGAGAAAAAACGAACAACGGGCCCGCAAGTAGAAAAATGATCGAAGTCAGAGAACTCACAAAATCGTACGGGACAACGGTTGCTGTTGACCAAGTTTCGTTTGACGCACATGCTGGCGAAGTGTTAGGCCTCCTCGGTCCGAACGGCGCAGGAAAGACTACCACGATGCGTATTCTCACCTGCTATCTTTCTGCTGATGCAGGGAGTGCCACCGTTGCGGGGTATGATGTATTCGAGGAATCCTTTGAAGTCAGGAAACAAATTGGCTATTTACCTGAAAGTGCTCCACTTTATGCCGACATGGGGGTCATTGAATACCTCAACTTTATGACGCAGGTGCGGAAACTCCCAAAAAGCCAGCGGAGAGAGCGGATTCGAGCTGTTATTGACATCTGTGGGCTTGAGGACGTTATCCAGAAAGACATCGGTGAGCTCTCAAAAGGCTATCGTCAACGTGTCGGTTTGGCACAAAGCCTCATCCACGATCCGCCTATCCTGATTTTAGATGAACCTACCTCTGGGTTAGACCCGAGCCAAATCATTGAGATCCGTAACCTCATCAAAAACATCGGGCAGGAAAAACTGGTACTCTTCAGCACGCACATTTTGCCCGAAGTCTCTGCTACCTGTAGCCGAATCCTGATCATCAACAACGGGAAGATTGTCGCAAACGGGACACCGGAGGAACTCGCGGCTCAGGAGAAGGGCGAGGAAATTGTCCACATCGCCATCCGAGGTTCACAAGATGCAATTGAGGCACAACTCAACGAATTAGAGTTTGTTTCGCAGTGGAACCGTGTTGACACGGACAATGGCATCGTGGGCTATCAGATCCATGCCGCTCAGGGTAGCGATGCTGCCGAAGCACTTTTTCACGTCGTTGTGAAGAACGGATGGAGCCTCACAGAACTCCGTCAAGAATCCGTGGACTTAGAGGATGTTTTCCTTAATTTAACAGACAAGGAGCAGGTATAGTAATAGTAAAGGCTTTTCGGATGTAAAGAGGGAAACCGCTTGTGGGTTCCCGAAAAGGTTTTGAACCACCCCAGTTTTCATACTCGTTGACAGTTGTATGATCCCTTTGAAACCAAACCTGGTTTTCGTACCCGTTAACAATTCAATACCGACTTGGACCAAAACCGATGGTCTGCCCAACGTGCATATCCTCGTGAGGGTCCCCATAGTTAAGAGATCATGACAAACATTACAACTATCCTCAAAAAGGAATTTAGAAGTTATTTCAATTCGCCCATCGCGTATATTTTCATCACATTCTTCCTCGGCATATCCGCATGGCTCTTCTTTCGAGGTTTTTTTCTGGTTAACCAAGCTGAAATGCGCAGTTTTTTTGGGTTGATGCCGTGGATTTTCCTGTTTTTTATCCCCGCTGTTACGATGAAACTCTGGGCTGAAGAAAAAAAGCTCGGCACAATAGAAATCCTGATGACGCTACCCATTCGAGATTATGAGGTCGTCATCGGGAAATTCTTAGCAAGCTTTGCCCTTCTTACTGTAACAGTGTTACTCTCACTCGTTCTTCCGCTTTCAGTCATGTACTTAGGGAATCCGGATGGTGGAACACTCATCGGAGGATACATTGGACTCCTGCTGATGGGTGGGGCATATATAGCGGTCGGGCTTTTCACCTCAACGTTGACTGAAAATCAGATTATCGCTTTTATTTTTGGAATTACTGTCTGTTTTGTGTTGCTCATCATCGGTGAGGACATTGTGCTTTTCAATGCACCGAATTGGTTGTTTCCGATTTTCAGCTATCTGGGTCTTGGGGCACATTATAGTAGTATTCTTCGAGGGTGTCCTTGATTCCCGCGACATTATCTATTATCTGTCGCTCATCGGTTTTTTTCTCTATCTAAGTACATTGTCGGTTGAAAGCCGCAAATGGCGTTAAGTAAAGGAGTAAGTTGTTGTGCTAAATAAACGAATCAAATACGGTGGCAACACTTTCGCTTTTGTAGCAATTATCTTCGGCATTCTCGTGCTGATTAATTTCCTGTCGACGCGTCGCTTTCATTCGCGCGGATCTCACCGAGGACAAGCGTTATACTATCTCAAAAGCAACTAAAAATGTGCTGGACACGTTGGATGATATTGTGACGATCACCACTTACTTTTCCACAAATCCCGCGGAAGTCGCGCAAATCCGTCGCGATGTCAGAGACGTACTTGATGAGTACAACGCATTCTCTAAGAAACTCCAGATCGATTTTGTGAATCCTGCTGAATTTGACGATGGACAGAAACAGGAACTCCGTTTCAAGGGTATCCCGGAAGTCCAAATCAATGTCGTGAAAAAGGATAAAGCGGAAATTGCGAATGTCTATATGGGTATCTCTATCGGCTACAGTGGTAAAGAAGAGATTTTGCCGGTTGTGCGATCGTCCGCTAACTTGGAGTACGAACTCACTTCTACTATTCTCAAAGTTACCACTAAAGAGGCTAAGACAGTAGGATTTCTGACGGGGTCACGGCGAATTTGATATCAACGATCAAAACCATCAACAGTTTCGCCAACTTTTGGATAAAAACGCGCGGGGGCAATATAACCTTACTTCGGTCAGTCTGCAAGACGGAAAAGCCGTTGATGGGAACGTCGCGACATTGGTTATCGCTGGCGTAAAGCAACCGTTGACGGAACGCGATAAATATGAACTCGATCAGTTTATCATGCGTGGTGGTAGGGCGGTATTCTTAGTCGATCCCATTCAACTACAACCCGGTACATTGCAAGGTGCACCGTTGAGCACCGGTCTGAACGACCTCTTGGAACACTACGGTGTAAAGCTCGGGAACAACCTCTTGCTGGATACCAGATTCCACGACACGGCGCGGTTTCAACAAGGATTCATGACCGTTATTCAGCCCTATCCCTATTTTGTTAAAATTATAAAACCGAACTTCTCGACGGAACACAGCATCACCAACCAGTTGGAGGTGTTGACAGTACCGTGGACGAGTTCTTTAGAGATGGTGGCAAAGGAAGGTATCACTGCAACGCCATTGGCAAAGACGAGTGAAGCAGGGCGGAGTATTCAAGGTTATTACAACTTAATGCCGAATGCTCCGATTCCGCCCGATGCTGAGTCCCAAGCCTATACGGTTGCTGTCGCCTTGGAAGGCAAATTCAAAAGTTTCTATGCCGGTAAAGAGATTCCGCCGATACCAACTGCTGCGGATACTGCTAATACAGCGGAAAACGAAACTCCTGTCACGGCACAAGACGCACAGGCACGAACAACTAAAACTGAGAGTGAACAGACCCAAATTGTAGTGGTAGGCACGGCACAATTCCTCACGCAGCTACGTCCCGACGGAGTCAATTTTTTCTTAAACACCGTCGACTGGCTAACCCTTGGCGATGCTCTTATCGGTATTCGGTCGCACACCATCACAGATCGACCCCTTCGTGAAGTTTCTGAAATTGAGAAAAACTTTATTAAGTACCTATGTATTGTAGGTATTCCACTGTTAGTCGTCATTTTCGGACTTCTCCGATACTTCCTTAAAAGGCGAGCAAAAAGGTTCATGGAAACCTACGGTTCTATATAACTCTCGTTTTGTAATTTGCTTGTAGATACACTTTGATGAAACGGAATTTGCGTAAGCCCTATTAAAGGGATCAACATTGATACCTATTAGCAGCGATCCATCTGACTTAATCAGAAACCGCCGTTAAACGTAGTGGAACATTCTTTAAACAATTGGCCTTCGCGCTGCCTCCCATTACATTTCGGACAGGTTTCCGGTTAAGGCAGCTGATTTAATCAGAAACCATCGTGGAACGTAGTGGAACGATGCGCGAAGGCCCATAATTAAAAAGATGAAAACGAAACAACTCCTTATTTTAGGTGCTATTTTTGTCGTTTTGGTAATCGTTGTCTTGCTCTTCGAGAACCCTTCGGGCAGAGCGAGTATGAAAAGAAGGTTGAGACAGCAATGCCTCTGTTTCCAAACTTCAATAAGGAGCAGGTTGTGAAAATAGAAATCACCGCCACCGGTGAAACCACAACGCTCTCAAAACAGGATGACAATTGGGTGGTAGCTTCCATGGACAACTATCCTGCGGATGGTGAAGGCGTAGCAGAATTGCTGTCCAAGGTGACCGAATTTAAGAATACACAACGCGTCTCGAATAACCCAGAAAAACAATCGGAATTCGAGGTCGATAGCACCGGTGTCGAAGCAAAACTGATGGATGCAAGCGATAAAGTGTTAGCGCATCTGTTTGTAGGGAAAACAACCCCCGGCTTTCTAAGCAGTTACGTGCGTCCTGCTGATTCCAACGATGTCTATGTCGCACAAGGGTATCTCCAATCTGTCTTTAACAAGGACACACGTACTTGGAAAGATCGGACTATCTTTAATTTTAACAAAGGGATTGTCACACAGCTTAACATCATTTCACCGGAGGAAACGGTCGAACTGCGTCTGGATGCAGACGGTGCATGGCAGATGCTCAAGCCTGTAGCCGCTGCCGCCAAGACGACAGAGGTTGATGCCCTTCTTACAACTTTCAGTCGGATTGGACACAGACGATTTCGCTGAAGCGAAGGATGAACTTGCTGAATACGGCTTAGACACTCCGCAGTCCACTATTTCTGCTGTGCTGAACGATGGCACAACGGCAACCTTGCACGTTGGGAAAGAGGAGGAGGGTAAACTTTACGTCAAGCGCGACGACAAAGATACTGTCTTCAGGCTCTTTCAAGTCGAATGTAGATAGGTTAATGAAGAAATCCGATACGCTCAAGGCTGAAGTACCAATCACAGAAGTTGAAACTGAATAGGTTTTTTAGTTATTGAGTTAAGGAAAGTGTCCAAGGTGCAAAATCTTCATATGAAGAAACTTGTAGCTCGTAATGAAATGGAGAGCGGATTTGAGAAAGCGGCATCAAAGTTGGAAGCTACGCCATTTAACCGCAAGGTAAAATTAAAAACTCGTAATGAAATGGAGAGCGGATTTGAGAAAGGGGTCAAAGTTGAAATCTACGCCATTTAACCGCAAGGTAAAATTAAAAAAAGGAAATTAACCGTGAAGAGATTAAAATTTTTATGTTTAGGGTTGAGTACATTAATCGCCATAACGCTCACCGGATGCGAACCACAAATCATAGGACCTTTGCTACAGTCGCAGGAGAGTGGGAAAATCCACGTGACAGGAAGCGGTTCAGTCGCCGGTGAACCGGATATAGCAACGCTGAATTTAGGTGTATCCGTTGAGAAGGAGACGGTTGCAGAGGCACGGGAGGCAGCCGCAGCCGCGATGACAGGCGTGATAGCGTCTCTGAAAGCCAATGATGTCGCTGAAAAGGATATTCAAACGGAAAGATTTAGCATCTATCCACAGTACGACTACACGGATAATGGACGAGTGCTTCGTGGATATAGTGTGAACAACACCGTTAGTGCAAAGGTGCGAGAATTAGAGAATCTCAGTGACATAATTGATGATGCCGCCGAAGCGGGGGGCGACATCGTTGTTGTAAACTCCATCCAATTCATGATTGAGGATGCCACAGCACTGCAGGCACAGGCGCGTAGTTTGGCGGTAAAAAATGCAGAGGCGAAAGCGCAAACCTTGGCGGAAGCGAGTGGTGTTACTCTCGGAAAACCTATAACTATTACAGAGACGACCTCCGGAGGCAGTCTTCCGATCGCCTTTGCGAAGAGTGCCGAATTTGCCGATGAAAGTGCGCGCAGTTCAACGCCTATTGAAGCCGGTGAACTCACCGTCATTGTGAATATCACTGTGGTTTATGAGATTGAGTAAATTTTCGCAGTGATACTATGGGAACAGCTTCTAATCTACGTCGTCCGTGTTCTCCCCAAATTGCTTCCAAATTCGGCGTACATACGTAATCCTTGAAGAAGCGCGAGACATCGTCTGAGTCTCTCTGTTCATCGAGCCTGTTTCGAATAAGCGTAACATTGTGGGAGTCAAGTTCAATTCCTAT